CTTGCCTCTGGCCTGCTCTGAGTGCCTCTTGCTCCCAGAACTTGGGAAAGAATGGGACAGTTAGATCTGGCAGAATCCAGATGACAGACACTGCCCTGTCTGCTGCTGGAACTGTGTGAGCTTTGCGGGGCTCGTTCCGGAAAGGAGAGGCAGAGTTGTTGAGTGTAAATGACCTCCGTCTGTTCAGCAGGGCCTGCTCCCCCTTGCTCGGGTGGGCTTCCCGGTTCCGTGGCAGCTCCTCCAGCGCCACGACTCCGTGTCGTTCTGCCTCACTTCTCCAGGCAGCCTCACCGGCAGCTGGGCTGTTGTGTTCTCCGCGGGGGAACCACGTTCCAACTTTTGTAATTCCCACTGACGTGCCACGTGACTGCAGCAGTCTTACACAGTGTGGTCATGACTGACTAAGAAATCAAAAGGGCAGGTTCACATCGCTGCTCCCTGGGGATGGCCGCCAGCCTGCCGTGGTCACCTGGTGCTCTGGCTGTTGGAACTCCAGTCTCTGGTGAAGGCTGGGGAGGGGAGGTGCAGACAGAAGAGGAGTCCTTGTCTCAGAGTTTGGTTTCTGTGACCAGCTCAGTCTGTGAAGCAGTCTCTCCTGTCTTCCCACTTGGCTTGGCTTGGAAAGCTATGGATTTTTCCCCCTTGGGTCTTAATTGAACTTAAACTAGGTAGCTAAGAGGTTTACCCACTTTCTCCTAGGAAGCTGTGGTCAGTTCTTTCCTTTCCTTTCCCAGGTGAGACTCTGTGTCTTGGTCTTGTCCATGAACCAGGTAAACCTTGGGATGTGTGCCTCTGTGGGCCTGTCTGCAGGCTGCTGGTTGAGGCAGGCAGTCTGGTAACTAGATCTCCAGGCTGGGTTCTTTACTTTGACTTATCTCCACCTGGAAGTCAGAAGATGGACTCACGCAGGTCAAGAAAGGTTTTCCCATCGGTGAAAATCTGGCCTTGGGGGAAGAAAAGAAGACTGGTTTCTTGTTGCTTTTAGTTTGTGTCCTCATAAGCGGGTCTGTCCCCTCCCTGTCTCGGTGCAGGCACAGGACGGGTCACACCTGTCTCCATCTGCTTGGTGCTGCCATTTGAAATACTGCGTCACGTGTCTTTTCTGACATCATAGCTGGGTTCATTTTCATACTGAATTCCTAGTGTGTGAGGCCTTACTGGCAGGAGAATGTGTCTCTGGGTCTTTTGTGCTGGTGAGTGGGACTTTTTTTTTTTAAGATTTATTTATTTGAAGGCAAAGTTACACCAAAGCGGAGAGAGAGGTCTTCTGTCTGCTGGTTCATTTCCCAAATGGCCACAACAGCTGGAGATGGGCTGATACAATCCGAAGCCAGGAGCCTCCTCTGGATTTACCATGCAGGTGCAGGGCCCCAAGGACTTGGGCCATCTTCTACTGCTTTCCCAGGCCATAGCAGAGAGCTGGATGGGAAGTGGAGCAGCCAGGACTCAAACTGGTGCCCTTATGGGATGCCAGCACTGCAGACAGCAGCTTTACCCACTATGCCATAATGCAAGACCCGTCTCTGGGTCTTTTTTTTTTTTTTTTTTTTAACTTTATTTGAAAGTCAGAGTTACACAGAGAGGAGAGGCAGAGAGAGAGAGGTCTTCCATCTGCTGGTTCACTCCCCAGTTGGCCACAATGGCTGGAGCTACGCCAATTCAAAGCCAGGAGCCAGGAGCTTTTCTTGGGTCTCCCATGTGAGTGCAGGGGCCCAAGGACTTGGGCCATCTTCTACTGCTTTCCCAGGCCACAGCAGAGAAGCGGAGGATGCCAGCACTTCAGGCCAGGGCGTTAACTCACTGCGCCACCTCACCGGCCCCCTGTCTCTGGGTCTTGTGACTGCCCCTACCCGTCCTGATCTCCTGTTGCCCGTGGAGGTCATTATGGAGTGATGTCATTGTCATTACGTTGGAGTAGAAGCTGCTTTCTTTGAATAAAGCTTCCTTCGAAGGTCATTGCAGGGTAAATGGTTGTAAAAGCATCTTTGGGGTGTTCGTCACCATCCTCGACAGTCTCCCCTTCCTTCTGAGTTTTTCTGTTTGTTATTCTGGGACCATCTCCATTTGAGGAGCGGGCAGTGCTGCGGCTCCGGCACTTTCCTTCCTGTGCTCAGGGCGGGGCGGGAGCTCAGCTTCAGAGTCCATAAGAGCCTGGGTCGCTGTCTTCGGGGTCCGTAAGAGCCTGGGTCGTTGTCTTCAGTAGCAGCTCAGGGCAGCGATGCAGATGCCCAGAGGCTCCACAAGCTCACAGCCCAGTTTACTGGTCCCAGGGTAAGTGAATTCCAGTCTTGAACATGACAGGATGTGGCCAGGAGGATGCACACAGATCCCTCCTGTCTGATTCTCCAGGGTCTTCCAAGCTCCAAGGGTGCCTATGACAATGGGGAACCTGAACCAACAGCCCCCAGCATCTTCCTGGGAGAACCTTAGTGCAGGAGACTGGCCTCTTGCTGAGGCTCACAGCTGTCTGTGTCTTCCAAGCTGGGCCTTCACCACACAATCAGGGCTGGCGTTGTGGCGTAGTGGGTTAAGCTGTCTACAATGCCGACATCCCATCTGCGCACTGCTTCATGTCCCAGCTGCTCCACTTCCAATCCAGCTCCCCTCTGATGCACCTGGGAAAGCAGAGGACAATGACTCAAGTCCCTGGGCCTCTGCATCCAAGTGGAAGACCCGGCTGAAGCAGCTGGCTTCAGCTTGGCTCAGCCCTGGCCAGTGCAGCCATTTAGGAAGTGAACTAGCAGGTGGATGATCGATCGATCGATTGATATCTCTCTCTCTCCCTCCCTCCCCCTCCCCCCTTTTCAAATAAATAAATCTTTAACAAATGATAATAATCTCCTGGCACTTGGAGTGGGGGCACCATCTACTGGTCAGCACTTTGGAGTCTGAAGTTTGAAGGCCTGCGGAGCTGGACTTGGCTGTGAGGAGCTGAGTGGGCTGATTCTGGATGTGAGGGTCAGGATTAAGGAAAAGTCCCAGGGCCTTGGGCGCAGGGTGCTCTCTGGGAATACCCACACTTTTCTTCTTTTGTACTAAGATAGAAAAGCAGACACTAGTCAGCAAATTGAAAACTACCAGGTTTTGTTATTTGAGAGGTAAAGTTACAGACAGAAAGATATTTTCCAACTTCTGGTTCATTCCCCAGGTGTCTTCAATGGCCGGAGCTGGGCCATTGACCCAGAGCTAGGAGCTTCTGGGTCTCCCACATGGGTGCAGGGTCCTCTGCTTTCCCAGGTACATTAGCAGGGAGCTAGATTGGAAGTGGAGCAGCCGGGACTCAAATGGCGGCCATATGGGATGCTGGCACTGCAAGTGGCAGCTTTACCCACTACGCCACAGTGCCAGCCCTAAGGTGACCAACTTCTGACCCTGGGGTAGACTCCCGTGTGGCCCTCGAGTCCCCTCCTGGACTCTGCATTTCTGCCCTTGAAAGATGCGCTGGAATAGCGCAGGACCTTGGAAAAGAGGAGCTCGCAGTCAGTCTCCCCCTGGCCTGGCCATGAGCAGGCAGCTGGCTGGAGCCGGGTAAGGAGCAGATAGGACATGCCCATCTTTCCCACAGTTAGTACCCAGCAAGGTGTCCCCTGGAGGGAGAATTTCAGGGAATTTATAGCCCCACGTTCTTTGACTGTCACAAAGGGATTGTTGTTGGTTCCCTAAGAGACTGGCACCCTGGCGAGCAGTTGATTTATGATTCCAGCCTGAACTCGACATGGCAGTCCTCCAGGCCCCTCCCACTCCTCTCTACCCAGCCCATCCAGCCTCCTCTTTGCCCACCTGATTGGCAGCAAGGCAGAGTCCAGAAGAGATGAGCTGCTAGGCAGCCTGGCCTGGACATTGTGCCCCCCAAGTTCAGTGAATAGCTGTGGTGTCCAGAAGAATGAGAGTTTTACCAGGAAGGACTTTCAGGGAGGGAGGCCAGGAACCGCTAGCCTCCACTTGGTCCTCACACCTTCACTTGGGAGACGTGTTGTGGTGTAGCCTTTATTCTTGAGGGGGGGGGGGGTGCACAGAGGTCTGTGGCTGTTCCTTGTCAAGTCTTGTTGTGGAGTTGGCACTGTCTTCTCCCTCCCTAACCAGACGGAAAGAAATGAGACCCAGCAACTCACCCTAGCCTCGCTTCTGCGATGTGATCGTTAGCGTGTAGCCTGGCACTCGCTGGTCTGCCTGGGTTGGAGCGGTGAGCAGCGCAGCTGTGTGCTTGCCAGGTCACGTGTGGACAGCGGGGGCAAGGGAAGGCCTTCCTCCCTGCTGTGCTGCAGCTTAGAGCGTGGCCCTGGACCATGGCCTCGCAGCGTTGATCTGGCTTCAGTGAGACATTTACTTTGAAGCAATGAAATACAGGAGCCGTGTGATGCAGTCTCAGCTCTTGGGTTTTTGTAGGTGTGTAGAGCTGGCGGTTGTACACGGAGGGTGAGAGGAAGTTTTTCTCTGCAGAGAGCAATGCCAGTGTAAAGAGAACTGTTAAGGTGTGCTTCATGCTGGCTCGGGGTTCTGCAAGCTGCCCCTTTCCCCTCATGATCAAGTTTCCCTTTTCTGCTTAAATTAAAAGTAGGAAAAACTCTCAGGAGCAACTAATCTTTTGTTTTTCAGTCTCAGGTGTTATAAATAGTCCCCTCCCCAGCACCCACCATTGAGCTGGTGGTGCCTGGGGCCGCGGCAGCTCCAGAGACTGCGGCCGCTGGGCCTGAGCGCGGCACTGTGTTCTAGCACGCTTCCTCAGACCCAGAGCGAGCGTGGACAGAGGGCAGGTGGCAGAGGTAGCCGGAACAGGCTTGCCGGCGCACGTTCTCAGCATTCTGGGTGCTGGTCCCTGCTGGAGCCCGTGGAGCAGCTGAGGGGGCTGGGAGACTGAGCTGCCGGAGGCCCCGCAACGTCCCCGGCTGTCCTTTCACCCTTTCTCCTGCCTTAGTGATCCCGTGTGTCTCAGCGAGGAAAGCAGTGGTGGCTCAAGGACCCAGGTCTGACCTCCTCGTGTTTCTGCTTCTCTTGTGTAGGATAATGCAGACGTAGAGAAGCGAGACCCCCAGGAACTCGTTGGTAAGTACCCGGTGGGAGCTGCTCCGGGGGGCTTGTTGATCCTTCGTACTCCCCCTCGGGCCCTGCCGCTCTTCTTAGGGCGACTGGGTGAGACCGCCAGGGAACAATTCTTCTTTCAAAGTGGTATTCATGGTGTGCTGTGTTGTGCTTCGTGTGGTTGCCAGCACCGTCAGGAGGGAATTCGGGGCCCCATTTAGCTGGGACCTCATCGCAGCCTTTGTTTCCCCTTGTGCCCTGTCTTGTGTTTGTGCCCCCTCCTCCTCCACTGGCATATTCACGGTGCTCAGGGAGTCGGCATGTGGCCTCTGCTGGCACTTTGCTCTGTCCCCAGGCGGGCACATGCCTCACAGCCCTGGTGTCTGGGGCCCTTTGTGACTAGGGAGGAGCAAGGCCATTTCTGGAAAAAAGCCCACGTCATCCAAGTCCTGTGCCAACTCCAGCCTCTTAATCCTTTCAGAAAGCCCCTCAGCTCCTTTAGTTTGACTGTGGCCTTTGTAATGGCCCTGAAAGCCTGACCCAGGGACGTTCCCTGGTGTCCGAGTCCAGACCTCGCAGCAGGGTTGACCGCGCTCACCCCCGCGGCCATTACCCGCGCTCTCTGCCTGTTCCCTGATCTCAGAGCGAGTTACTGCTCTGCAGCTGTGGCCCGCAGAGCCCACCCTGTGGTTCCCGTCAGGTGACAGGGACGCGGCCTGGAGATGTCCCTCCAGAGGTCACTCTTCCAGGGACGGGAGGTCGGGCCCATTTTGTTTTTCCCTAACTGAAAGAGCTAGAACTTGTTCGTTCCTTTTGTCTTCTGAGGAAGACGTGGGTAGGAATGTGAGTCTCTGAGCAGCCCCGACTCCTAGCGCGGTTCTGCCCTGATCCCTAGGTTGTCCAGTGGATGGAGTTTGGCTCCTTCAAGTCGTGTAAACGCCAGGATTTCCTTAAAACCTTGAGTATACACTTTAGAAAACACCGTAGGGCGGACCATGCCGAGAAACTGCAAGGCTGGGGGTCAGAGGGCAACTCTCCATGGAGCTCGGAGCTCGCGCTCGCAAGCAGCGTTGGGAGAGTGCTGGAATGTGTGTGGGCGGTGGCCGACTCAGCCCCCAGCTTCTTCCACAGCCAACTTGGCACTCTCGTCTCCACGTCCCTCTGAAGTAGCTCTGTTGGAGTAGGATTTACACAGAGCCAGATGTGCCAGTGTGGAGTGTACCGCTTGAGTTTTGATCGACTGAATGGTCGTGTGGGCCACACGATGGTCATAATACACGACACTTCCATCCCTCCAGAATGTTCCCTCGCACCCCTCCCTCTGCCTCAGGTGGTAGGGATCTACTGTCTTGACCATAGCTTTGCCTTGTGAAGAATTCCGTGTAATCAAAATCTTTCAGCCTTGGCACTGTTGACACTTTGGGCTGGGTCATTCTGCCATGGGAACCATCCTGTGCATTGTAGGCGGTGTAGTCCGTCCTGTGTCTGCCCACTAGTGCTGGAAGCCCGCTCTCCCTCCCCCAAAGGTGACGATAAAAATGTCTCCAAACTTCTCCAGGTGTCCTCTAAGAGGGGCCCCGCCCCACAGAGTGGGGAACCACTCGTACAAATGCAGTAGTTCTGGGGGGGCCTCTCGCTCAGCTTGACGCCTGTGAGATGCTCCTTATTAAACATGTCCATTGTTTCTTTTTGTTGCTAAGTGATGTTTCATTTTTTTACCCAGGAAGGACACAAATACATCTTTTTTTTTTTTTTTTTTAAGATTTTATTTATGGGGGCCGGTGCTGTGACGTGGCGGGTAAAGCCGCTGCCTGCAGTTCCAGCATCCATATGGGTGCCTATTCGAGTCCTGGCTGCTCCACTTCCGATCCAGCTCTCTGCTGTAGCCTGAGAAAGCAGTGGAGGATGGCCAAGTCCTTGGGCCCCTGCGTCTGCGTGGGAGACCTGGAGGAAGCTCCTGGCTCCTGGCATCGGATTGGTGCAGCTCCGGCCTTTACGGCCAATTAGGGAGTGAACCAACAGATGGGAGATTTCTCTCTCTGCCTCTCCATCTCTCTCTATGTAACTCTGACTTTCAACTAAATAAATCTTTTAAACAAAAAAAGATTTTGTTTATGTATTTGAGAGGTAGAGTTACAGACAGTGAGAGGGAGAGACAGAAAGGTCTTCCAGGCCTGCGCCGCGGCTCACTTAGCTAATCCTCTGCCTGCAGTGCTGGCACCCCGAGTTCTAGTCCAGGTTAGGGCGCCAGATTCTGTCCCACTTGCTCCTCTTCCAGCCCAGCTCTCTGCTGTGGCCCAGGAAGGCAGTGGAGGATGACCCAAGTGCTTGGGCCCTGCACCCACATGGGAGACCAGGAGGAGGCACCTGGCTCCTGCCTTCAAATCCGCGCAGCGCACCGGCCATGGCAGCCGTTTCAGGGGTGAACCAACGGAAAGGAAGTCCTTTTTCTCTCTCTCTCTCATTAACTCTGCCTGTCAAAAAAAAAAAAAAAAAAAGAAAGAGAGGAAGGAGGGAGGGAGGGAGGAAAGGAAAGGAAAAGGAAGGGAAAGAAAGGAAAGGAGGTCTTCCATCCACTGGTTGACTCCCTAAATGGCCGCAATGGCTGGAGCTGGGCTGATCTGAAACCAGGAGCTTTCTCTGGGTCTCCCACGTGGGTGCAGGGGCCCAAGGACTTGGGCCATCTTCCGTTGCTTTCCCGGGCCACAGCAGAGAGCTGGATTGGAAGTGGAGCAGCCGGAATTCGAACTGGCACCCATATGGGATGCCAGCACTGCAGGTGGCAGCTTTACTCACTACACCACAGCGCTGGCCCCATTTGACTTTCAAATAAATAAATAAACCTTAAAAAAAAATGGCGAAGCAGACTAGCCTGACACTCCAACATGGGATGCAAGCATCCCCAGCGATAGCATAGCCCACTGCTCCACAATGTCTGTCCCACAGGTGGATCTTCAAGTTTGAATACCCAGCGATTCTCATTGAGGAATAACTAGTTAGGACACAGCTGCCTGGCTGCCATGGGAAGTGTTTCCGTATGTGTGGACCCCCTGCCTTTCAAAGAGCAAGCCAGCGAGGAGGAAAGCCAACCCGTAGACATCGGTCTCCAGTAGTGGAGCTCCTACAGGGCTGAGCGTGGCACCCTGTCCCTGCCTTCCAGGATGCCTGGAACAGTGGCACTGGTGGGGTAGTCCCGTTGGGTTCCTCATGTCACCTGTGCGCTGGAGACACCCCATGGTCGTTTGCTTTCAGCCACCTCACAGCATCCCGCAGGCATCCAGAGGACCGGCTTGCTCCCTCTGCTCACCCTCTGCCACCCATAAGCCCATCTGGCTGGCTGCTCCTACACAGATTCCTCCTGGCAGCTGTGGACACTGGCTGTTTCCCGACCGACATGCACGGGGTGACTCGTGCTGTCAGTGGGCTTCTCAGCTGCTGGATGCACTGCCTCCTAGACGGCCCCCCAGACCCAGGCAGCAGCCAGTGACCCGCAGCACTGCCCAAGCGTCTGGCTCCGTCACACAACATGGTTGCTTGGGAAGAGGGTTTAGAGATCTGACTGCAGCCAGGTAGTGGGCTGATGTCTTCCACACTAGCTCACTCCAGAGCGAATCACTTAAAGCTTGCTCCTGAAGCCTGTGTGAAGCTTTTATTAGTTTTTCTGAGTGTCCCTTTGTTTGACAGTTACTTCTTAGGAATTATCTTGTTTCTAGCCAGTTCAAGAGGGGTTTCCCTCCTCTCACCGTCCCGTGTGCTGTCAGAACCCCAGAAGTGTGGCTAGTTGCTGTGACAACAGTATCACAGCCTGTTTTTCCAAAAGGCCTTCCTGACAAATGCCAGAGGGCATGTGTCTCATCACACATCCGCTTCGTCCCTCCTTGCTTTGGTTACTAATGCTCACAAAATGGAAGGCCCAGCTCTCCCTTGCCGACGCCGCGTTCACCCAGCCTCTGCAGCCCACGGGAGCTCAGGCCTTGAACTCCCAGCATTGCGGGACTGGGCGGAGGAGGAAGTCAGGCTGAGCAGGGTGTCACCCTGGCTTGAGGAGTTCGGGGTCAGAAGTACAGTGCTGGGCAAAGAGCAGCGCTCAGTCCGCAAGTGGAAGTACCCCTGGCCGCGCTGACAGCGGAGTCCACAGCAGGACCCGCCTGTGAGCCGTGTGCCACTCAGTCTGTCCTCTGTTCTTGGGACGCATTCCGTGAGAATCCACTGACGACAGTGAAAATCGTGCAGCTGCGACTCTGCTCTGGACTTGACCCCTGGCCTCAGCGCGGCTCAGTGTGCGCAGGCTGGGACCGCAGCAGCTCAGCTGGCGAGATCTGGGAGCCTCGTCCCCAGCACTGCGCAGCCTGTGTTCTTTACAGCAGAGATCAGTGTACCTTATCTGCTAAGAAAACATTAACCCAGCTTCAGGAGCGAGTGGGGAAGGCTGTGCTCGGCCAGCCCAGAGCTTCCACATAGCAGGTCCCCTGAAAGCACTTGCTGTGTATCGGTGGGGGCTTGTTCATTCTTCCCTCCGTCCTGCCCCACCGCGCCCTGCCTGCTGCTGGCTCACTGTGAGGTCCTTTTCATGAGAGAATGTTTTCAAGAGCACAGTCCTACAACAAACAGCGCATTGTCTGAGTGATCCAGGCAGGGTGGCCGGAGGCTGGGGAGGAGGAGGCTGAGGCAGTGGCGAGGCTGAGGGAGCTGCCCCTGGGAATCGGGCCTGTTGTTCCCAGGAATGAGGTGGGCCAACAGGGGTTGGTTGGTTTCTTTTTTAAAGACCGTAAGCTAATAACATCAGATGAATGTTTGTCCTGTACAGGTCGTTTTGGATGCTTTGGGACCCAAACCTGGGGGACTCTGAGCTCTGATCCCCTGTAGTCTGGGTGGATCAGGCACCTTCTCACTCCGGCCCCACCCCCAGCTGGTTGGCAAACATTCACAGCGCATGCTGGGGCCTGTTCTTTCCCTAAAAGTTAGCCGCTGTGACTTGGTAGTGTGTGTTCTCTACATTGGTGCGCTGTGCCTCATGTCTGTTTCCCCAGCTTGGCACACGCTGGCTCTTCCTGGTCATTCAGCCTTGGCTCCAGGGGACCCTTCCTCGAGAGATCGCACCTGCACGGTGTTTGCATCGCATTTACTCCTCCCTGAAAACGTTTCATGTGGTCGCTTTTTATTTTTCGTGTCTGTGGCCGTCCTCACCTCTTCCTACAGAATTGTCCCCTCTGTTCTCTCCACAGCTTCCTTTTCTGAAAGGGTCCGGAACATGTCGCCTGATGAGATCAAGATCCCACCAGAACCCCCTGGCCGATGCTCAAATCACTTACAAGTAAGCACAAGGCCCGGCCGCCGGGGCCCATGAGGCTGGGTTAGGTGTCTGATTCGGTCTTCGAACCTGAAGAGCCCGTGGCAGGGAAGGGGACTGAGGTTCTGTAAGAAACATCCGTATGAGAAGGGGACCATAGTCCTGCTTACTCCTCCTTAGCCTGTGTCAGGCTTGCGCGCCCACTGTGCTACCTCTCCCTGCAGGTCACCCTGCCCTAGTGGCCCTGCCCCCTGCTGGCCCTCCATGAAGTCCTAAGCCTGGGCAGAGAAAAACATACATGTCCTGCAGCCCCGCTGACCAGTGGGAACTCCTCAGGAGGAGCTTTGCTGAGGAACTGGGACCATCTAACTTCAGAAGCGTTTATGTGCATAAAATTCCTACCCTCGTATTCCGTCAGGGCTGATTCTGCAATCTCTCGCCTGACAAAACTCGTGCAGACCCGACCTGAGATTTTAGAGCTGTTAGTGCAGTTACTGCCTGGCGGGCGGTCCTGGGGGGAGCTGGGGTTCCCCCTCCCCGCCCCCCTGTCAGTGGGGCCTCCGACTACAATAAGGCAGATGCCCAAGACTGCACACCTGCAGCACCTGGTCCCCCTGCCCGTGGGTGACAAGGCCGGGGGAGGACCAGAGTCAGGCTGGAAGCCCATACAGATTCTCCTCCTTTTCCAGAAGTCCTCTCCCTTTGCTGACTTGTCTGTCCCCCGCCACCTCCCAGAGACGTGTCACCCTCCGTGCTAGACAGCAGGCTCGGGCCACCTGCCCAGGCGGAGGCACCCAGCCGCTCAGCCTGAGTTCAGACTGTACCTTGTCATGGTAGAAACTACGGTATCTGAGGTGGCAGGACTGACCTGATGGCCCGGGAGACAGAGCCGAGCCACGTGTAGAACATGGGGCTCCTTCCGTTGCCCTGGAGGAGGCAGCATTGAGGAAAGCCGTTGTCGCCCTTGGCTTTTCCTCCCTGTAATTAACTGCACTGCAAACCCCTCCCTGCAGCTCAGACTTCCGGAGGCCAGTCCGGGCAGAGTCGGCCTCTCCTGGTCTTTCCCAAAGGTGTCATGTGGCACCCCAGCCCCGCCCACCTTCCCTTGCAGGTGACGCGTACTGCCCCCCACACCGTGTTTTCTTTTCTTTTTTAAAGATGTGTCGGTTTGTTTGAAAGGCAGAGTTGCAGAGAGAGGGAGTGACCGAGAAGATCTGTTCCCCATTCCACTCCCTAAATGGCCCCAGTGGTCAGAACTGAGCTGACCCAAAGCCAGAAGCCAAGAGTTTCCTCCAGTTCTCCCACCTGGGTGCAGGAGTCTAAGGGCTTGAGCCATCTTCCACTGCTTTACCAGACCATTAGCAGGGAGCTGGGTTGGAAATGGAGCAGCTGGGACTCGAACCAGTGCCCATATGGGATGCCTTCTCCACAAGCGGTGACTTTTCCTGCTAAGCCACAGCACTGACCCCTACCCCTGTATTTAAACTGCCCCAGGAGGTCGGCTGCAGATAGATTTTTTTTTTTTTTTAAGATTTATTTATTGGGGCCGGTGCTGCAGCTCACGAGGCTAATCCTCCGCCTTGCGGCGCCAGCACACCAGGTTCTAGTCCCGGTCAGGGCGCCGGATTCTGTCCCGATTGCCCCTCTTCCAGGCCAGCTCTCTGCTGTGGCCCGGGAAGGCAGTGGAGGATGGCCCAAGTGCTTGGGCCCTGCACCCCATGGGAGACCAGGATAAGTACCTGCCTCCTGTCATCGGATCAGTGCGGTGCACCAGCCGCGGCGGTCATTGGAGGGTGAACCAACGGCAAAGGAAGACCTTTTTCTCTGTCTCTTTCTCTCTCACTATCCACTCTGCCTGTCAAAAAAAAAAAAAAAAAAAAAAAAAAGATTTATTTATTGGGGCCAGTGCTGTGGCGCAGTGGGTTAAAGCCCTGGCCTGAAGCACTGGCATCCATATAGGTGCCAGTTCTAGTCCTGGCTGCTCCTCTTCCAATCCAGCTCTCTGCTGTGGCCTGGAAAAGCAGTAGAAGATTGCCCAAATCCTTGGGCCCCTGTACCTGCATGGGAGACCCAAAAGAAGCTCCTGGCTCCTGACTTCAGATTGGCTCAGCTCCAGCCATTGCAGCCATTTGAAGAGTGAACCATTGGATGGAAGACCTCTTTGTTTCTACCTCTCTCTGTAACTCTGTCTTTCAAATAAAAATAAATCTGTTTTATTTTTTTTTATTTTTATTTTTTTATTTTTTTTTATTTTTTATTTTTTTGACAGGCAGAGTGGACAGTGAGAGAGAGAGACAGAGAGAAAGGTCTTCCTTTTGCTGTTGGTTCACCCTCCAATGGCCGCCACGGCCGGCGTGCCGCGGCCGGCGCACCGCGCTGATCCGATGGCAGGAGCCAGGAGCCAGGTGCTTCTCCTGGTCTCCCATGGGGTGCAGGGCCCAAGCACCTGGGCCATCCTCCACTGCACTCCCTGGCCACAGCAGAGAGCTGGCCTGGAAGAGGGGCAACCGGGACAGAATCCGGCGGCCCAACCGGGATTAGAACCCGGTGTGCCGGCGCCGCTAGGCGGAGGATTAGCCTAGTGAGCCGCGGTGCCGGCCAAAAATAAATCTTAAAAAATTTATTTCTTTATTTGAAAGAGTTACACAGAGAGAGGAGAGGGAGAGAGAGAGGTCCTCCATCCACTGGTTCACTCCCCAATTGGACAAAATGGCCAGAGCAGGGCCAATCAGGAGCCAGGAGCCTCTTTCCAGGGCTCCCACACCATTCAGGGGCCCAAGGACTTGGGCCATCCTCCATTACTTTCCCAAGCCATAGCAGAGAGCTGGATTGGAAGTGGAGCAGCCGGGACTTGAACTGGCTCCCATATGGAGTGCCGGCAGCAGGCGGCATCTTTACCTGCTACGCCCCAGCACCAGCCCCTGCAGATAGTGCAATGCCCGCCTTCCTGGGTAGTGGCACTGTTTCCTCAGGGTTGGGCCTCTTCACTGGCCCTAAGCAGCACAGGCATCGTCTCAGCTGGGCAGCACCTTCCTAGGGACACTCGGGTCACTGGCCAGAGGTGGGCCTGGATCCGGGCCGGGTGTGATTCTCCTTACCCTTGAAAGTCCAGGCCTTGCTCCTGGAGGAGGAGTCCGAAGATGAGGGGTAACCCTCGATAAACTGGCTGGAACCAGCCATTTGTGAGCCAACCTGAAAAACTCTCCTGCCTGCACCCAGAAGGACGGAGTCCCTCCCAGGAGCCTGTGACTCACAGCTCGGGGGCTTCCCCTCGTGCTGAGAACCAGCCTGTGTCCCTGCACGTCCGCTCTGGCGCCTCGGACTGTTCAGGCGATGCAGGAGCTGATGAAGCGGCTGGCGATCGGTTGTCATCTCCTCCGTGGCCTCCCTGCCTCAGTCTTTACTCACCCTCTGTTACTCATCCGAAGGGAGACGCCGCAGACAGACTGGCCTGGGCTCTTCTGACTTGGGTCAGCTCTGTCCAGGCAGAGGCTGGGTGGAGAAGGAATGTGCTCCTCACAGCACTCGAGACTAAAGACTGGGACTGGGAGTAGGTGGGTGTCGCTCCCCGTCTTCGTGGAGGAACGACACAGGACCCTGCGCTGTTCTTTTGTCTACTCGGCCCTCCCTGGGTTTGCTGCTGGTTCTTCCCGGGTTGGCTACCGTCCCTTCCACCTCCGTGGAAGGGCGGTTCCCCCTGGCCACTTTCCCCACTTCCGCGGGGGAGCGGCACACCGCCGGCCGGCTCTCTCGGGGGCTGCACAGGTGTTCCTTCAGATAGATGTTCCTCATGCATGTTGTCTCTCTCCTCCTTTATAGTCCTCTTCCACCAATCCCAACTCTGCTACCCACACGCCGAGTACGCTGCTCTCCTCCAATCAGGAGCAGGTCCTACAGTTTATTGGCTGAACTGGAGGCAGCTGTGTAGAAGCTGTTTCTCCCTTCTCAGCGCCATATTGTGGGAGAGCAGATGCATAGAATAAGTCTTAATTCCAGTAACTTAGTCTAGTCCGAGTTGCTCCCCACAGGTGGGCTTCTGTCACATGCTCTTCTGCTCCTCTTCCACAGGACAAGATCCAGAAGCTGTATGAGCGAAAGATAAAAGAGGGAATGGATATGAACTACATTATCCAACGGAAGAAAGAATTCCGGAACCCTAGGTCAGTTTCCCCTGAGCTCGTGGGGCTGGGTCATTGCTGCTGGAGGAGAGCCGGGGCCAGCCCCAGGGAGGTAGTGCGGATAGACTCAGCTGAGGTCTCACCTGAGCTCAGACTCCCCCAGACTCAGACCCAGCAGGCCGTCCCAGCCCCACTGGGGGCTGCTGTGTCGGGTCCAGCCTCCACCCAGAAACCAGTGTGTGAGCTGAGAGCCCAGGGTGCTGGGCTGGAGTGGGGGCGGCGGGATGGCTTCTTGGCCTGCTCCGTTCCTGCCACACATGACCTCACGAGTCCCAGTGTCCTCTAGTCTAGGATGAGGAAGTTGGGCCCGATGACCAGTCTCTGGGTTCTTCTCCCAGCTCTGGAAAGTTGGCTTTGCACGCAGATGAGAGGGTCCGGGACAGAGCTAGCTGTATGTGGCTCTCACTCTGCAGCCCTTGAACAAGTGACACCTGGATTGAGCACGTGAGTGGCAGCGGGGACCTTGTGTGGTCCTGAGTGGCAGGCCTGACCTAGCCTTGCATACTGAGGGTCGGAGACGCCCAGATAAGACGGAGCCGTTTCACCTGACCCTGTGCTCATCCTAGCCCCCAGCCAGCAGCTCCACTTCACAGGCAGGTGCAGGCCGGAAGTAGCAGGACCAGGCCTCCCGCTGGGAAGTTGGAACAGCTGAACAGGGTCTAGAGGTCAGAGAGGTTTCCACTCCGCCCGGGGAGTCGGCAGGGACATGGGACAAGTGCCTGCTCAGTGCCTGTTTTGTTCTCCTTGCAGCATCTATGAGAAGCTGATTCAGTTCTGTGCCATAGACGAGCTCGGCACCAACTACCCAAAGGTGGGTCCAGTGCACAGGCTGAGGGTGGGGGGGTTCCCTGGACCCTGGGCCGGCTCCACTGGAGTTGCACAGGAAGGTCAGTGGCACAGCAGTTCTGGTTGGATGGAAGAGGCTCCATCTCGCTCTTGTTCCTTTTCTGAAGCAGTCCAGTGAGAGACACCAGTTACAGATCTGGCCGCGAAGCTCTGAATATGTAGGGCCCAGGTGTGGGCTCACTGCTCCTGCAGATCAGCTGGGGGGTGCTGAGCGGTGCATCTACCCCGGAGCTGGAGGCCCGGGGTCGCAGTTGAACCCTCGTGCTGTGACAGGAAGGCGCTCCAGGCCAGGAAGGTCTATGGAAAGACTCAAGGGAAAGGGGCTTGTCACCTGACACTGCCAGTTGATCGTGGCTTTGACCTTTTCTTTCTCAGGATATGTTCGACCCCCATGGCTGGTCTGAGGACTCCTACTATGAGGCATTAGGTAACCTGCCTTCCATCTACCCACCTGCCTATCTGTCCAGCCAGGCAGTCACCCAGGCCACACGCATTCCTGAGTCTCCTCTATGTCAGAGGGCCTCCAAGGGGCATCCAAAGGCAGCACCTTCACAGTCTCATGAGACGGGCCCCCATCCCTGACTCACAAGGCTGTCATACAGCGAAGGAGACAGATGGCTGAGCCAGTAATCCCCGCACTGACGAGGCTTACGATGGGGGAGCTGGGACAAGCAGGGATGCCTGACCTGCTGCAGGGGTTGGAGGGCTCGTGGAGGAAGTGGTGTTCACGCTGAGCTTGGAAAAGTGCAGGGGCCGGGCAGGCGTGGGCAGGATACCAGGCACAGTGGTGTCTTGAGGGCCCGTTAGGCAGAACTGGGAAGAATTGAAGAGGCTGCAGGCCCTTGAGCCGCAGGTCTATTTTTTTTTTTATTGAAAGGCAGTGTGTCCTCCAGTGCCCAGAGGCTGCTCCAAGGACTAGGAATGGGCTGCAGGAGGAGTCTTCTGTGATTCCTTTTTTTTTTAAGATTTATTAATTTATTTGTAAGTCGGAGTTACACAGAGAGTGAGAGAGAGAGGTCCTCCATCTGCTGGTTCATTCCCCAATTGGCTGCAATGGCTGGAGCTGTGCCGATCCGAAGCCAGGAGCCAGGAATTTCTTCTGGGTCTCCCATGTGGGTACAGGAGCCCAAGGACTTGGGCCATCCTCTACTGCTTGCCCAGGCCATAACAGAGCCAAATCGGAAGTGGAGCAGCCAGGACCTGAACTGGCGCCCATATGGGATGCTGGCACTGCAGGCAGCGGCTTTACCTACTACGCCATAGCACCGGCCCTGTCTGTGATACCTTTTAAAGATTTATTTATTTGAAAGGCAGAGTTACAGAGAGGCAGAGAGAGAAGTCTTCCATCTGCTGGTCACTCTCCAAATGGCCACAACAGCTGGAGCTGGGCATCTGAAACGGAGCAGAGCTCTCAAGTCTCCCACGCAGTGCAGAGGCCCAAGGACTTGGGCCATCTTCTACTGCTTTCCAAGGCCATAGCAGAGAGCTAGATCAGAAGTGGAGCAGCCTGGACTCGAACCGGCGCCCATTTGGGATGCCAGCACTGTAGGTGCGGCTTTACCCACTACACCACAGTGCTGGCCCCTAAACCGTAGATCTTAGCAGTCCATGGACCAGATCCTGGCCTGTAGAACTGATTTGTTTGGCCCACACTCATTGTGTCTTGTTCCACTGAATTCATTTCCAACACTTTACCTAAAAATTTATAATTCCAGTTTCTTGGCCAGTGGGATTGTACTCCCCTTTGGGCCTGCATTCCCAGGGAGGACTGGTCAGCCAGAGGTCAGTAGTAGGTGACCCTTCTAGGTGGGCCTCAAGCCCTTGAGTTTAAGGCCCCTGCTCCACACCAGCTTAGTGTTAGCACTTCATCTGGCTTAGTGCAAAAGGACGCTAAGCCCACAAGGGTCTTCAGTTCACTGAACAGGGCGGTGGGGCAGAGTGGGCTGGGCCCCTTTAGCCAAGAGCTGCTCCTGGGCTGCCTCAGTCACAGCCTGTCTTCTCTCCCTAGCCAAGGCCCAGAAGATCGAAATGGACAAATTGGAAAAGGCCAAGAAGGAGAGAACCAAAGTAAGTGGTGACAGGCATGCTGGGTGGGAGGGCTTGGAGTGCACACAGCTGCTGGCTAAGCCCAGGATGCCTGCCCACTCTCACCACACAGGAAGGCTCTGAGCAGCCTCGGCCACGCCTGCTGCACTGGGCGGGTGCTGGCAGCCCAGCCCCTGTGGCTCAGCCTGCACACACCCCTCCTGCCACTCTGCTCTTGTCCTGCTGCCTGCTGCATTTGTCCTCTCTCACCTCCCTCCCGTCTTCTCCCCCCACCCCTCACAGCTCAGAGTCCTGTGGCTTTGTCTCAGATTGGCAGTGCCCTCTTGACCTGACTGGAGGGAAGTTTCCTTCTGAGAGTGCAGGGCCCCAGCTTGCTGCAGTCTGTGTGTTTCTTGGCCTCCAGGACTGACCGTGGCTTGCCTGGGTGCTTTCCTGTAGGTCACCAGTCTGATGGCCAGGTGACCCCTCACTTAGGGTCCTGGGTACCGCTTCTTCCCCACCAATGGGTCCCTTGGGCAGCATAAGTTTGGCTGTGAAACCAAAATGTTCTCTGGACACTATATTCTCTGTCACATCTCCAAGAGATAAGTGCTGGGCACCAGGACACAGCCTCTCCCGCCTGTGGTTTGGCCTGACCCTCCTCCCAGCAGCTGCAGCCCCGGGGCACCCCCGACTGCAGGGCCTGGGCTGGCTGGCAGACCTCTCGGAGGCTCTGGTTGCAGGGAGGACTGTGGCGCTAGCGCAGAGGATGACTGGGCTTCTCCGTCGTAGCTGTGCTGCGTCTCCTCCTGTCTCTTTCCCGCTCCTTCTGAACCCCAGGCTTAGTGCAGGGACGTGTCTGCAGCACCAGGGGACAGGGGCGTCCTTGCCCTGTGCAGGCAGGCACCACCTCCTGGGCATAAGGAGGAGGGGGCCGGGCTAGAGGGTGAGGGGCATGTGAGGGGCAGCTGTGGCCGGGAGTGCCAGGCCTGTGTGTGCCAAAACCTGGTGCTGCCGGGAGGGGTACAAGTCTGGAAAGCTGTTTTAGGAGTGGTGAAAAGTCCCTTTGGGCCTTCCTAAGCATTTCTCCCGCCCCTAGATGGTCACACAGAGTTGATTTTCAATGCTTCCTTTGTTTGGTGCCAAGCGCCTGTCCCTGGGGCAGATGGGTGGCGTGAGGAAGTGGGTTCCCAGCTTTGCAGGGGTCTCACTGTCTTCTCTCCCTGCCAGATTGAGTTTGTGACGGGCACCAAGAAAGGCACCACGACCAACGCCACGGCCACCACCACCACCGCCGCCAGCACGGCTGTCGCAGGTACGAGGCAGTCTGTCCCAGCTCCGGCTGCTCTGCTTCCCGGCCAGACCCAGACGGAGCAAGGGCTGTCTGGCTCGTCTGGCAGGCAGACACCTGCAGATCCGGGCCACAGTTGGGCCTGCTGTCTGTGCTTTTTTTTTTTTTTTTTTTTTTTTTTTAGATTTATTTATTGAAAGGCAGAGTTACAGAGAGAGAAAAATCTTCCATCCAGTGGTTTACTCCTCAAATGGACCACACGGCCAGAGCTGGGCCAGTTTGAAGCCAGGAACAAAAAACTTCATCCGGGTCTCCCACGTGGGTGGCAGGGACCCAAGCACTTGGGTCGTCTTTCACTGGTTTCCTAGGCACATTAGCAGGGAGCAGGATTGGAAATGGAGCAGCTGGGACTCGAACCGGTGCCCATGTGGGATGCCGGCATCCCAGGCAGTGGTTTTACCTGCTGGGCCGCAGCACAGGCCCCTGCTGTGATGTCCTCTAAGCCCCAAGTGTGAGAAGCGGCCTTGGAGCCCGGGTCGAGCCCCATCTGTGCTGCCCCTCGGCTGTCTGGCCAGGCTCACTCATCTGTCCCCCGCCCCCGGCCTGCGGGAAGGAGGGTGGTGCTTTCTGAGCCAGCTCGAGCGTGACCGCCTTGCCTTGTTTCCAGATGCCCAGAAGAGAAAGAGCAAGTGGGACTCCGCCATCCCCGTGACGACCATAGCTCAGCCCACCATCCTCACCACCACGGCCACCCTGCCAGCCGTCGTCACGGTCACCACCAGCGCCAGCGGCTCCAAGACCACTGTCATCTCTGCTGTGGGCACCATTGTGAAGAAGGCAAAGCAGTGACCAGGGGCCACTCTGGAGCCGGGACTTACTGAACTGTGCCCCCAGTGGCCGCTGCCCGCTGGAGGGCGCCACACTGTACATTGCGAATCCTAGAGCCTGCTCCCAGGGACCGTGAGAGGGCCTGTGCGAGGCTCTCGGCCAAGGAGGGGGCGCTGTGGCCAGTGTGTCTACATACCACGTGGGGTCTGCCGCCTATTAAAGCGCCACATTCGCGGCCTGGCCTTTCCTGCAGGCTGCTACGTGTGGAAGCCCAAGCGCCCCTGCGCCTCCTCAGTGGGGGTCACTGCCTCGGGTTGACGGTGGGGTGACAGAAGCCTGTGGCACTGCTGAGCACAGCCAGGAAGTCACCCTGGTTCTCCACGCCTGCCTCGTGGTGTGGCAGGTGGGAGCCCAGGAGGGGCCGAGGCCCCGTGTGCCCCCACCTGCCGCTCGGACCCGACCCCAGCAGGGTCTCAGGGGAGGTGCAGCCGAGCGCTCCCCAGACTGCTTCTTGACATCGGGCTCTGGAAGTCAGCCAGGTACCACACGCCTGGAGTGAGACCCCCGGCTGCGCAGAGGGAGGCGACGGCACCTGGTGCCCAGGCAGCTCGGCCGGCAGGGTCTGCACGCAGCGGAGATGAATCACCTCCTGGCCGGGCTGGCGGCGGTGTTGTTTGTGTGAGAGCTGCCCCAGGGAGGGCCGGCCACCCCGCCCTTCCTCTGTTGTTATCTCTGCCCCGCAGCGCTGGGCAGCACCAGTGGACACTGGGCTCCTCTGGGGCTCAACGGCCGCCCCCGGCCACGAGTCTGGGAAAGACTGCTTCCCTTCCTCCGGCGGAAGGGCCGGGTGTCAGAGGAGGAAGCCGGGCTGCGTCCGTGGAGCAGGTGGAGGAGCTGCCCGGTGCTGTTGTGTGGCCTGAGGAGTGTGGCGACCTCTGCCCTGAGGGCCCCAAAATAAAAACCGAGTCACAAGTGCCCCTTCTCCGCCTGGTGGTGACTCTGCAGTCCCAGGACAGCTGCTGCCCACTGCTGTCCCCGGTGGCCGGGGCTCTGTAGATCGCAGCCGGGAAGCGGACGGAGGTGTGGCGTGTGCTGCACACGTCTGCTGGCCAGTCCAGTTTCTGTTGCAGGCCCAGGGGAGGAGCTGGCCAGGGCCGTGGGGAGTTGACCACACAGCCGAGGCCGGCCCCGGTCGGTGCGCTCTGTGAGGATGGACGGGACCTAGAGTCGGGCGGTCCCGAGCTGGGAGCGCTGTCACTCCCTGTGGGAAACGCGAGTTGGCTGCAGGCCCTTTGGTCCCTCTGAACACCCGCAGTGTGAAATGGCGCCACACCGGATTCCCCGGCTGCTGAGGGTGCAATTTCCACCCAGAATGCCCTCCCTCACGTCCCCCACTCCCAGGGCCCCTACCCCCTCTGGGTGGTTCCAGTCTGGGTGATGGCTTCGTGATCCACGCAGGCCCGCAGCTGCGCTCTGTCACTTCCCCAGTCCTGACCTGTTACACTGCCTGCATTCCCGGTCTCCCCTTAGACGGCAGACCACCCCACCCTGCCACACACTCCCCATCCATGGGAGAGTCCAGACGGCTGTGCACAGGCGGCCACCAGCTCTGCCACCTCCCTACCTGTCAGGGCTTCAGCTGCCCTCACCAGCACGGCCCTGCTCCATCCACACCTTGGCACAGGGCCCCTTCGTGCAGACTGACCCCCTGCCCACCGCCCTGGCAGTTAGGGTGCTGCCTCTGCTGCTGGCGCTCCTGCCTCAGGGCTGACACGTCCCTGCCCTGTCACCGTGGCCTGCATAGCAGCACTGAGACAGCTGGTGTCTCCTAGTTGGGAGCAGAGACCAAGCCTTAAACAGCGCTGTGCCCCCAGGTAGCTGGCGTGAGATGAGCACCTGGTGATTGGGCAGACAGCGGAGTTGCTCTGTGTTCCCTCTGCTGCTGTCACCGCACTGAGTTCCAGACCCTCAGGCCCACGCTCACCGCATGCCTCGACTGGCTGGGTGGTGCACTGGCCGCCCTTAAGCCTCAGCAGTGGGTACTGGGGCGAGCAGGGGAGGTCTCTGATTCTAATTTCTACATGTTTGGAATCTATGATAGATTTTTTTAAGGGTTATTGGACCATAAAAGAGTACAAGGAAGGACTCTGTGGACAGGTTGGGAGTGATCCTCAGTAGAGATTAGATGAAAGCCAGAGTGTGGGACGTGCCTTGTGTGAGAGGAAGTACAGACGGGAGAGATACCAGAGTGTGAGAAGGGAAGTCCCTGGGTTGAATTCGAATTGGAAGGACCAGTCTCGGGGTGGGCATTGTGTCTCAGCCAGTTCAGCCACCACCACTTGAGATGCGTAACAGAGGACCGGTTCGGGTCCTGGCCACTCCATCTTCCTGTCCATCGTCCTGCTGGTGCACACCCTGGGAGACAGCAGAGGATGGCTCAAGGACTAAGTCCCTGCCGACCATGTGGGAGACCACATGGAGTTCGGGCTCCAGCCTGGCCCTAGCAGTGGGCATTTGACAGTGAACCAGCATATACTCATTCTCCCCCCACCCCCATCACTCTACCTTTCAAATAAATGAATGTGTCTTTTGTTTAAAAGGCAGAGATACCTTCCATCGGCTGGTTCACTCCCCAATGACCACAGTGGCTGGGGCTGGGCCAGGCCAAGACAGGAACCTGGAACTGCACCCTGGGAGGCAGGGGACCAAAGCACTTCCCAGGCACATTAGCAGGAGCTGGATGGGAAGTGGAGCAGCCAGGACTTGAACTGACGCTCGTAGGTGTGTCAGCCTCACGAGCAGTGGTCTAACCCACCGTGCCACAGTGCCAGCCGCAATGAATGTATCTTTAAATATATGTATAGAGTTTATATATACATGGCATTTCCTTCTCTGTGCCATCAGAAGCAACGACAGCCAACAGCAGCTAACGTACATGGTGGCCAGACCTTGATTACTCACACAAAGGGCTCCTTGGGGAAGGGGCTGGTCCAGAAACCTTAGGGTTTCCCCATAGCCACACAATGATGCTTGAAGGTGAGGAGAGAGTGACTACAATGAATCAGAAATGAGAAGATGGACGTCCTTTCCCCCTTGGTGACATTTAAAAGAAAAAGGAATGTAAGAACAAACTCCTTACTCTGAAGCTGTGAAAGACTGAGCACCCCTCTTTCAGGTCCTCTCTTCCAAGATGGCAAAGAGCAAGAACGGGGGCCGCTGCCGTGGTGTAACTGGGAAAGCCACCACCTGCAGTGCCAGCGTCCATGTAAGTGCCAGGTGGAGTTCTGGCTGCCCTACCTCCAATCCATCTCCCTGCTACTGCACCTGGGAAGGCAGCAGAAGATGGCCCAAGTCCCTGGGCCCCTGCACCTGCGTAGGAGACCCGCAAGAAGCTCCTGGCTCCTGGCTTTGTGTTGGTCCAGCTCCAGCTGTTGCGGCCATCTGGGGAGTGAACCAGCGGATGGAAGACCTCTCTCTGTGTCTCTCCCTCCCTGTAACTCTGCCTCTCAAATAAATAAATCTTTATTAAAAAAAATAAAAATTATCCCTTCTGTGCTGTTGATGGAATTGTGCAATGGAACAGAAAATAGTACGGCAGTCCTCCAAAAATTAAAAATGGAGCTCTATGATCCAGAGGTCCCAGCGCTGGGTCCATCCTAAAGGAGGAACACATCCGTGTTCGTAGCAACATCACTCACAGAGCCAAGAGCTGGGAGCAAACCAAGCAACCGTCCGCGGAAGGGCGCGTCGGCAGAACGTGCGCTCGCCAGCAGTGGAGTCCCACGCAGACTTCAAAGGAGAGCGTTCCCGTCCAGCTTCCGCATGGATGGACCTGGAGGACACGAGGCCAAGTCCACGGTCAGACAAAGAGCAGCCAAATTCATAGACAGGAAATACAAAGGTGGATACCAGGGGCTGGGGGCAGGGAGAGGGAGAGTGGCGTTATTGGGTACATTTTTCAAGAGGAAGTTTGTAGGGCTGGCACTGTGGCATAGCAGGTTAAGCCACTGCCTGCAGGGCCAGCATCCCATATGTGTCCCGGCTGCTCCACCTCCGATCCAGCTCCCTGCTAATGCACCTGGGAACACAGCAGAGGACACCCAAGTCCTTGGGTCCCTGTACCCATGTGAGAGACCTGGAAGAAGCTCTGGGCTCCTGGCTTCAGCCTGGCCCAGCCCTGGCCATTGCAGCCATCTGGGGAGTGAACTAATGGATGGAAGATTTCTCTCCTTGTCTCTAATTCTCTCTTCAAATAAATTTTTTTAAAAGGATGATGTTTGGGGGCACCGGGTACTAGTCCCGGTTGCTCCTCTTCCAGTCCAGCTCTCTGCTGTGGCCCAGGGTGGGAGGGCAGCAGAGGATGGCCCAAGTGCTTGGGTCCCTGCACCCACATGGGAGACCGGGAGGAAGCACCCGGCTCCTGGCTTCGGATCGGCGCAGTGCTGGCCATGGCAGCCATTAGGGGAGTGAACTAACGGAAGGAAGACGTTTCTCTGTCTCTCACTGTCTATAACTCTCTCATTGTCTAACTCCGGCCAAAATATATAAATAAATAAATGGATGTTTGTACTATGAATGTTCTTTTTTGTTTGTCTGATTTTATTTATTTGACAGATAGAGTTAGACAGTGAGAGAGAGAGACAGAGAGAAAGGTCTTCCTTCCATTGGTTTACCCCCCAAATGGCCACTACGGCCGGAACTACGCCGATCCTAAGCCAGGAGCCAGGTGCCTCCTGGTCTCCCATGCGGGTACAGGTGCCCAAGCACTTGGGCCATCCTCCACTGCCTTCCCAGGCCACAGCAGAGAGCTGGACTGGAAGAGGAGCAACTGGGACTAGAACCCGGCACCCATATGGGATGCCGGCGCCGCAGGTGGAGGATTAGCCAAGAGAGCCATGGCACCGGCCCCTTTTGTTTGTTTTTAAAGGTTGATTTATTTATTATTTGAAAGTCAGAGAGAGAGAGAGAGAGAGAGAGAATATTCCATCTGCTGGTTCACTTTCCAAATAGTTGCAATGGCCGGAGCTGGGACAATCCGAAGCCAGGATCCAGGAGCTTCCTCCGGGTCTCCCACACGGGTGCAGGGGGCCACTACAGGTGACAGCTATACCCACTGCACCACAGTGCCACCCCCCGCCATTCTTCAACCCCAAAGAATTATCAATTCGGGCTAGGGTTACCAGTAAACGCTAAAACCATCCAGTGGAAGCTGTTGGGAAATAGGCAGGTGATAAAGCATTGTCAACCCCGCAAGTACTCCCCCCCCCCCCCCGCCAAAGGCAATGACACAGAGGTCTTCCATCTGCTGGTTCACTCCCCAAATGCTGGCAACAGGCAAGACTGGGCCAGAAGCCAGGAATTCAATTCAGGCCTCCCACATGGGCGGCATAAGAATTGTGGCTTCGCTGCACATCCCTGGAGCCCTGTGGTTAAAGCCGTGCACTCCAGGGAAGGCAGAGTTCAGAGAGGGTGGGGGGAGGAGACACAGAAAGCTCATCGGCCTGCGGGTTCACTCCCCAGACGGCTGCAGTAGCTGGGGCCCGTGAGGCCAGGGCTGTGCCAGACCGAAGCCAGGAGCCCTTGCCCTGGAAGCCAGCCTGACTCTGACCCCAAGGAGCAGAATGAGACAGTGGGGTTTTATCTGTTTACAGTTAACATGGAGGACAATGACTCTTAACCCTGGGGAAGGCGGTGTGAGCTACGGATCCTCTTCCCAGCAACCCCACAATCCCTCCATCAGATGGGCCTGAGTTGTCACATAGCTCAGAAGGTCACGCACCTTCTCCCCAGGTTCACCCGCAGCCTCCCAGCTACAAATGCCTGGACTCCCAGAAGCCTGAGGGATCCCATGTTGTCTTAGCAAGGCCTCCCGCGGGAGATCCTCTCCAGCCCTGCCTCACGAAGGGCTTTGCTATGACCCCTCCCCCAGAGCGGCTGCTGATCCCAGCAGGCACTGAGCCCCGCCCCCGGGCCTGGGTCCTCCCTGTACGAAGCAGCTTCAGCCCCTCGCCTAGCAGGATGTATGTCACCCAGCCCAGCCTCCACCGGCCGTGCTGGCAGACCCAAGTCCCTCGTGCAGGCTGCGTCCAGCCGCCCTCGGTTCTCCTCGCCCAGAGTGGACTGGGCACCTGCTGGAGCAGCTCGCTTCACCCCCACTGGACCCCCTGCCAGCCACACTCCCCAGACCCAGCAGTGAGCCTCTGGGCACCTGGCCCGGGCAGAACGGCGCGCAGATGCCCGGGCGACACGGCCTGGTGACCATGGCTCACACGTGTGCAAGCAGGACTCCCACAGTCGCTGCGTGCAATGGCAGCCCCAGAATCCGTTTCCAGCTGGGGACGCCGAGGCCCGGGAGGCCGAGTGACAGCGCCACGACGCTCTCCTGCGACACCTGCCGCTTTCCAGGCGCCCTGCTCGCCTTGGCGGGACTCGGGGATGGCTCTGCAGGGCACCCACCGTCCAGGGCGACGATCACGTTCAAGCCAAGGTGGCAAATGCTTGGGAAAGGCTGGGTGCCCAGGCTAAGGGGACACACAGTGCCACCTGGGGTGCAAGGAGGTCAGGGAAAGGCCCCTGGAGCAGGTGACGGAGGCATGAGGGTACCAGGGTAAACCTGGCTAACGCGGCTCGGAGCTGCGTGGTTAGCGGCTGCCGGCAGCTTCAGGGCGGCCCAGCGGGGCGTAACCAGCAGCCCTGAGCCGGCCTGCCCTGGGACAGGGCCGCGGGCAGGCTCACGGCTGTGCCTCAGCTTGTCACGGACTGCAGCAGTTCGCTGAGTGCGCTCCACGCCCGCGCGTGGTCTCTGCACGGGAACTACTCACTTAGGAAGGAGGTGTAAGTAGCTGGCTCAGGCACACAGGCGACCACCTGCTCAGACCTCTCTCCGGACACGGCGTGGGGGCGGGAGCGGGAGCCCGAGAGAGGGCCCGGTGCAGAAGAGAGCGGAGCTGGGACCTGGGGCAATCCCCGGGCCCATCCCTGGAGCGGGGAGGGGGCCGCGGTGCGCGCAGCGGTGGCGTCGCGCCGGTCGGCCGGCGGGGCACAGCCTCGCGGTGGCTCGCAGCTCTGGGGCTGGGGGCTGGAGGGCGCGGGGCTAGGAGGCCGCCCCCAGCCCGAGCCAGCCTGGGCACCCGAGCCCGGAGCGCGCGCCCGGGCTGCTCTGGACAGAGAGGACACGGCTCCTCCCTCGGCCCCCGCCACCGCCGGTCGGGGCGCGGGGCCGGCGCCGCGGGAGCCGCAGCCCTTTCCGGGGGGCGGGCCCGGAGGCGGCGGCGGCGGCGGCGGCGCCCGGGCTCCTGCCCCGACAGGTGCGTGCCGCGCGCAGGAATGCGGCGCTCCTGACTCACCAGCGCCTCCTTCCTACCTGCAGCCCGCCCCATAAAGCGCTGCCCGCTCCCCGCCCGCCGCCGCCCGCAGCCCGCGCCCCGGACCCTTGGGCCCGCTTGAGCGCCTGCAGCCCCCGGCCGCCGAGCGCTCAGTCCCGGCGGGGAGCGCGCGAGTCCGCGCCAAGGTAGGTCCAGTGGCCGGCTGGGGAGAGCGGGGACAGCGCAGGGCACAGATCCGCACTTCCCCAGCCCCCAGGGTCTGCCCGGGCTACCGGAGCCGGCGAGGAGTGGGTGCCGTAGCCTGGGCAAGCCGCGCAGGGCAGCTGGTCGGGTTTTGTTTCTTCTTTCCCTTCCTGAAGTCTGGCAGGCCCTGCTTCCCTCTCCGTGCTGCCCAGGGCAGGTGCCCTGCCTGCCCGGCTGTGCCCAGGGGCAGTTGGGAGCAGAGGCCCCAGGGCTCCCAGAGAAGGGGTCCTCTAAGACCCTGGGCGGAGGTGGCTGGAGTTGGGTGTGCAGGGGCAGTGGGCCGAGGAAGGGGCCGCAGGTGTGCAGGGCTGGGCCTCTCTGGGGTTTGCAGAATAGCTCGGGGCCAGCACCCTGCCAGGCAAACACAGGGTTCTGGGTGTGGTGCCGCGGTCCGTCTGGGCCGAGGGGAGTCCCTGCCTTTCCTCTTGGCCAAGCCCACGCCTGCCCTCCTCAGCTCCAGACCCTTCCTCCAGGAAGCTCCCTTCACTTCCCGAGCGGCCCTGAGGTCTGCAGCCTCCAGTGCTGGCCCCTTTCCCAGCTGCTCGGCCCCGGGGGTGACCCCATGTGGCCCACGGGCTCCAGATGGCCCCCACGGGCAGGAACAGGGCTCCTCCTGTCCCCAAGCCTCGCTGAGCACAGGGACCGGGCACAAGTGGCATGGCCGTTGCTGCCCCCAACAGAGCTGGAAGCAGAGGCTGAGGGTCTCCCTCCCAGAGACCAAGAGGGGGCAGCAGGGCAGGGGTGTTTTTCTCCCAGGGCCTGGCTTCCCCACAGGTGACAGAGCGGCCGAGGGGCCAGGGACCACCAGCAGCTCTTAGCAGCTGATGGGGAGGGTGAGGGAGGCCCTGGCAGGGAGATGGGCAAGCAGGAGGGAGGTTTTGGGGGGCAAGTGCAGATGTGCTGGGGGGCGGCCAGGGGGGTGGGAGAAGGAATGGGGACCTCTGCATCAGGGGGGGTCACGTGTGTGTCCCTGTGTGGGGGACAGCGTGGCAGTCGCATCCCCCAGGGACCTCCAAGTCCCTGCAGCCCGGTGGGGTCTGGGGCGGCCTGGAGCGTGGGTGTCCTGCGTGCTTGGCCCAGCCCATGGTGGCCCCGACTTCCCATCCACTTTTGTGTAAAATTGTTTCCCATTTAGGCAACTGTGTTCAAACGTTGTAAAGAGGAGTTGAGCTTCCCCGTTGTCCTGGTGCAGCCCAGTGGCTGCAGGGTGGGGAGGCCCTCGAGCCTGGTGTGCCTCCCCTCCCGTCTGGGCTGTGGGCATCACACAAGCCTCTCTCCGCTGTGGGCTGCTGTGCGGATTACGTCACAGTCCTGGGGAGTTTGGGGTGCACGTCGCTGTCATGTACACCGTGTGCAGCCTGTGCATGTGGGTGTGAGTAAGAGCTGGGCTTGGCCCCCCGGTGCCCACACCTGCCTGGCTAATGGTGCCCCGGGGAGGCCTGTATTGTGTAGCATGTGGGTGTGGTGCCCATGCCCCAAGGCTGTGAGGAAGTCATTTCCCCCAGGAGGCTGGGCTGCCCGGCTGCTGGCTCTGCCTGTGGAAGAGCCCAGAGCTGCTAGTGGCCTCCTGGGGGAGATCCGTCCTCCGAGGGAGGGGACTGCGCCTTTCTGCCCTCCACCCAGGCAGGGCCTCTGCAGCCCTGTAGGGACCTCAGTCCCCCCTCCCCCCAGGCCCTGGCTCTGGGGCTGCCCTCACCCTCCCAGGCCAGGGGCTGAGAAAGGTTTCGGGAGGGGAGGGCCGGCGGGCACAGCCCCAGATTGGGCCACTGGGAAGTCTGAGGCTCCTGGCCTTGGCCCTGGGCTCTGCGGGCCTGGGGGGCCCTGTGGGCTGCCGGCTTCTCTCCTCCCGGAGGCATCAGGCTGCTTAGCTTTGGAAAGTCCTCTGGGCTGCCTGGGCCTGCCTTGGAGCTCACTGATGAGCTGAGGGTTTCATAGCGAGGCGAAGAGTGACAGGGGCCCTGGGCTGGCTGTCTCGGTGTGGGGGAGCAGGAGAACTGCTCAGGGCCCCCAGAAACTCAGCCCCAGGGCAGGTGGAGGTGGGGCGTGAGGCAGGGGGTTCAGACCCCATGGCTAGAGAGGCAGAGCAGAGCCCAGCCCCGGGCAGCCGCTCACCCTAGGGCCCTGGTGGGTCAGGACGGAGGGGACCCTGTCAGGCTCACTGGGTTCTGAGAGGCAAAGCAGAATTGGCCCTGCCAGGCCGGCACCGCGGCTCACTAGGCTAATCCTCCGCCTTGCGGCGCCGGCACACCGGGTTCTAGTCCCGGTTGGGGCACCGGATTCTGTCCCGGTTGCCCCTCTTCCAGGCCAGCCCTCTGCTGTGGCCAGGGAGTGCCCGGGAGGATGGCCCAGGTGCTTGGGCCCTGCACCCCATGGGAGACCAGGAAAAGCACCTGCCTCCTGGCTCCTGGCTCCTGCCATCGGATCAGCGCGGTGCGCCGGCCACAGCACGCCGGCCGTGGCGGCCATTGGAGGGTGAACCAACGGCAAAGGAAGACCTGTCTCTCTGTCTCTCTCTCTCACTGTCCACTCTGCCTGTCAAAAAGTAAAAAATAAAATAAAAAAATAAAAAGAATTGGCCCTGCCTGCCCCCCGGGGAGGCTGGCACCAAGAGACCTGGCACGGAGACAAGCCGGGGGCCCAGGGTCCCCAGAGGCCAGAAGGGGCTTCCCCGGGCAGGATGCAGGCCTGGGAGTCTCTGGGGGCCAGAGGCAGGAACGGCAGGGCAGGGGGCGAGCAGTGGAGGAGACAGGAGGCGGGAGCCCCGCTGGCCATGCTAACCACTGGAACACTCAGGGCCTCGGCCTCCACACCTGTGCAGTGGGACTGGCTGGCGTGGGCTCTCCCGTGGAGCATTGCGGGGGTCCTGGGAGCTGACAGCCCCGGCCAGGCACCGTGTAGAGGCACCACGTGTCAGCTGTCGCTTTTCTGCAGGAGATGGCGAGGCCGCGTCCCAGCCCGTGGGCCAGGCTGCTGCTGGCAGCCCTGCTGAGCGCCTGCCTCCCCGGGGACATGGGTGAGTCCCCTGCAGCCCCTCTGGCAGGAGACACTGCCCTTTCTCTCTCAGCCGTCCAACAGCCGACCCCTGGAGAACGTGGAACTCCGCACCCCGCAGAGGGGGCATCGTGACAGGCTGGCCTGGAGCCAGGGAGGAAAGGGGGGGTCTGAGGATGGAGGAGGGTGGGTGCCTCCCAGGAGGTGTCGAGGCCTCCAAGAGGGTGCAACGCTTGAGGGAATGGGAGGGGAGAGAGGCGTCCCCGTGGGCAAGTGGCTCGAGCCGGCGCCTGCATACTCACGTCAGTTGCGGTGGCTTCGGAAGCTTGAGATAGACCATGCTGGGGATATTACATCAGGAAAACAGCAAATCCTGCACTCCAGGGCTTCCCCTCCCGTACAACATCGTCTGGGACCTTGGAGACCACCTACTGTGCGCACGTTGGGTGCACATAGTAGGTCCTTACTGTGATTTTTAACTGAGTAGACCAAGAGGAATCCAGTAACCCTTGGGGAAACTCTGGGGCTTAACCGCATTCATTTCCTGAGGACCTACTGTGCGCTGGGCCATGTGTTAGACACCAGGAATATAAGTCCCGGAGGAGCTCAGAGAGCCGGGGAGGATTCTGGGACTGGAAAACATAAGTTGTGATGGGGGAGACAGTTAGGGACAAGGGGCGTGGCCAGGGAGGTCAGACCGGAGAACCTGGCTCAGCACCCCGGGCCTCCCCTCTGGACATGGACGCAAGGTTCCAGGTTTGCGAGCTGGCTCTGCTGGCTCCTAGCAGTGCTACCTGAGACAGGCCACATAGCCTGAGGCCTCTCCTTCTTCCTGTGTAAAATCTGGAGAGAGCCCCCACCCCTCCCTGGGGAGGATGCAGGTGGGAAGGGCTCTGGGCCCTGCTGGGACCCCTCCCCATGTGTCTGCCCCGCCCCCGCCCCCAGCCAACCGCTGCAAGAAGGCCCAAGTGAAGAGCTGCACAGAGTGCATCCGTGTGGACAAGGACTGCGCCTACTGCACGGATGAGGTGGGCAGCTGCCGGCCAGGGTCAGCCTAGGCCATCGCGCAGGCGCAGGTGCCCTGCCTGGCCACGCCCCTTCCGTGGCTCTGGCCAAGTCCACCTCTGCCACACCCTCCGCCCTGCCCTGGGCCAGCTGGGTGTGGGAGAGGCAAGGGTCAGGAGCCCCAGGGGAAGTGCATCTGAGGTTGGGACAGGCGGGGTGGGGTGGGGGATGGGCGCTGCCCCCTGCTGACCACGTCTGCTTCTGGCCAGATGTTCACGGAGCGGCGCTGCAACACCCCGGCCGAGCTGCTGGCGGCCGGCTGCCGGCAGGGCAGTGTGGTGATCATGGAGAGCAGCTTCCAGATCACAGAGGTGCCTGGGGGTGGGGCCCGCGGCTGTGGGGCGCTCCCCACGCTCACTGGGGGGCTGGTCTGGGGGGGAGTCCCCAGGGCCTCGGAGTGGCCCTCCAGCCCGCGGTCGCCTCCCCTGGGTGCAGGAGAGCCAGATCGACACGGAGCTGCGGCGTAGCCAGGTGTCCCCCCAGGGCATGTACATCCGGCTGCGGCCCGGCGAGGAGAGGCACTTTGAGCTTCAAGTCTTCGAGCCCCTGGAGAGCCCGGTGGACCTGTACATCCTCATGGACTTCTCCAACTCCATGTCCGACGACCTGGACAACCTCAAGCAGATGGGGTCGAACCTGGGTACAGCGGGCGAGCGTGGGCCACTCAGGGCAGCAGGGGAGGAGCCCTCGGCCGGCTGGCAGGGCAGCTGCTGGGAGGCCGGGGCTCAGGATGGCTGCACCCATCCCACAGGGCGAGACAGGACATCTGAGGGCTCCCCAGGCCCCCATCTCAGCGGGGGTGCCCAGGCCTCGGGACTTGAGGGCAGGCCCAGGCCTGGCGGGCACCTGTGTTTGATCTCAGCTCTGCACGCAAAGCGTTAACCAGAGAAGGCCCTTCTCCCTCTTCCTCCTCCCTGTCCGCGTTGGGGTGCTGGGGTGCAGCCGTCCCCTCTCTGTCTTGCTGATGCCCAGCCCAGGTCCTGAGCAAGCTCACCAGTGACTACACCATCGGCTTTGGCAAGTTCGTGGACAAAGTCAGCGTCCCACAGACGGACATGAGGCCTGAGAAGTGCGTGACGGTGTGGGCCACCTCCTGTCACCTGAGTGGCGGCCCCCGGGGCGTGTCCAGCCTCCCCGTCCTGACGCTCGCCCTCCCGCCCACCTCCGCGCAGGTTGAAGGAGCCCTGGCCCAACAGTGACCCTCCGTTCTCCTTCAAGAACGTCATCAGCCTGACCAAGGACGCGGATGAGTTCCGGGACAAACTGCAGGGAGAGCGGATCTCGGGCAACCTGGACGCTCCGGAGGGCGGCTTTGACGCCATCGTGCAGACGGCCGTGTGCACGGTGAGCCCAGCCGCGTGTGAGCTGCCCGCGGCCTGCCCCGCCAGGCTCGGAGACCCCGGCCCCCGGCCCCTCTGCGTGGCCCCTGCTCAGAAGCTCCATGGCGGAGGAGCCCGGCCTGTGCCTGCATTCGTATTGGCCAGTGAGGCAGACGTGCGCCGTGGGGTTCTGGAATCTTCTTCAGTGCCCTGAGACCAGCCTGCCAACCAATCTCCCAGGACCCAGCTGAGCTGGGCGGCTGAAGTGGCCACTTGCTTTATGTGTACATCAAAACAACGCCAGCCAGTGCCGCGGCTCACTAGGCTAATCCTCCGCCTGCGGCGCCAGCACCCTGGGTTCTAGTCCCGGTCCAGGCGTCGGATTCTTTCCCAGTTGCCCCTCTTCCATGCCAGCTCTCTGCTGTGGTTAGGGAGTGCAGTGGAGGATGGCCCAAGTGCTTGGGCCCTGCACCCCATGGGAGACCAGGAGAGGCACCTGGCTTCTGGCTTCAGATCGGCACAGCGCGCTGGCCGTAGCGGCCATTTGGGGGGTGAACCAATGGAAGGAAGACCTTTCTCTCTGAGTCTCTCTCTCCCACAGTCTATAACTCTCTCTCTGTCTCTCTCACTGTCTAACTGCCTGGAAAAAAAAAAATTCACTTTACAGACAATTTAGAAAACAAAGAAAAGAAGTTGCCCTTCATTTTCCACCATCAAACAGCCAGCCGCTGACAGCCACCTGCGAATCTTACTCCATTTCCTTATTTTACGTGGTGGAATACGTGTAGTTTCTACTCGGAAATTTACCGTTTGTTTTTCACTTAACACTACCGTAAGCATTTTCTCTTGTAATAGTTTTAAAGTCATTCCATATATTTTTCTAAAATCTTGCAGTGTACTGCTGTTCCTATTTTTTTTTTTTTTAGATTTATTTATTGAAAGGCAGAGTGACACACAGAGACAGAGAGATTGTCCATCTGCTGGTTCACTCCCCAGGTATCTCCCAGAGCTGAAGCCAAGAGCCAGGAACGGCATCCTGGTCCCCACATGGGTACCAGGGGCCCAGGCACTCGGGCCAAAGTCTGCTGCTTTTCCAGGAGCATTAGCAGGGAGCTGGATTGGAAGTGGAGCAGCCGGGACTTGAACCAACACCCCAGTGTGGGATGCTGGCATTGCGAGTGGAGGTTTAACTTGCCACACCACAATGCCAGCTTTGGCTGTACCTATTTAGCCAGCCTTTGGCATTTAACATTGTGTATATTTTCCTATGCAGTTAAAGCATACTTGTGGGGCCGGCGCAATGGGTTAAAGCCCCAGCCTGCAGTGCCTGCATCCCATATGGGCACCGGTTCGAGTCCCAGCCGCTCCACTTCAGATCCAGCTCCCTGCTATGGCCTGGGAAAGCAGTAGAAGATGGCCCAAGTCCTTGGACCCCTGCACCCACGTGGGAGACCTGGAAGAAGCTCCTGGCTCTTGGCTTCAGATCAGCTTAGCTCTGGTTGTTGCAGTCATCTGGGGAGTGAACCAGCGGAATGGAAAACCTCTCTCTCTCTCTCTCTGTCTCTACTTCTTTCTGTAACTCGGTCTTTCAAATAAGTAAAATAAATCTTTTTTTTTTTTTTTGACAGGCAGAGTTAGTGAGAGAGAGAGAGACAGAGAGAAAGGTCTTCCTTCCGTTGGTTCACCCCTCAAATGGCCACTATGGATCAGTGCTGTGCCGATCCAAAGCCAGGAGCCAGGTGCTTCCTCCTGGTCTCCCATGCAGGTGCAGGCGCCCAAGCATTTGGGCCATCCTCCACTGCCTTCCCTGGCCACAGTCCAGAGAGCTGGACTGGAAGAGGAGCAACCGGGACAGAATCCGGCACCCATATGGGATGCTGGCAGAGGATTAGCCAAGTGAGCCGCGGCACCGTCTCCGTAAAATAAATCTTAAAAAAAAAAAAAAAAACCATACTTGCAGAGTAGCCCAGAGCCTGCAGTGTTCACTGTGTGCACGGATGCTGCATGCGTTGCCGCTTCCCCCGCCGCTGGTCTCTGGTTTGGACACCATCACACGTGTGTGCACGTGTCCCTCTGGCTGTCAATCCCGTGGCTTCCACCCAGCCCCGTGGAGGGACCCGCCCTCAGCACTCCTCGGCAGGTAGCCAGCTGCATGGCCCGCCCCTCCCTGCCTTCCCCAGAGAGCCATCGGCTGGCGCCCGGACAGCACCCACCTGCTGGTGTTTTCCACCGAGTCGGCCTTCCACTACGAGGCCGACGGGGCCAACGTCCTGGCTGGGATCATGAACCGCAACGACGAGAAGTGCCACCTGGACGCCACGGGCACCTACACCCAGTACGGGACCCAGGACTACCCGTCCGTGCCCACCCTCGTGCGCCTGCTCGCCAAGCACAACATCATCCCAATCTTCGCTGTCACCAACTACTCCTACAGCTACTACGAGGTGCGGGGCCCGGGCCCTGCCGTGCCAGAGGCGGGCAGGGCAGGGAGGGGGCGCGTGGAACTTCCTGCCGCCTTCTCTCCTCCATTCCCGAAGCTTTTGGGGGCCCCAGGCAGTCCCTGGTGGGGAGTGCAGATCCCATGCCCCCCCGCCAGCCCGGTCCCCCAGCGGTCGGGGGGTGGACAAGGGCGGGCTCTGGAACACGCCAGCAGCTTCCAGGCCTCGGTTTCCCCGTCTTCGAAGTGGGGCTAATCCCAGACGCTCGCCCGGACCCCAGGAGGTGCTTAGTGCGTGGCTTCCCCTCCGCAGAAGCTGCACACGTATTTCCCCGTGTCCTCGCTGGGGGTGCTGCAGGAGGACTCGTCCAACATCGTGGAGCTGCTGGAGGAAGCCTTCAACGTGAGTGTGCGGGGCCGGGCGGGCTGCAGGGGCTCACGGCGCACGGGGGCTGCCGTGTCACAGCTGAGAGACACAGGCGCTTCCAAAGCTCATGGGAAATGCAGTCCAAAGATACAGTTACCATAATGCCCCTGGTTTGGGAATCTTTGCATAGCTTGTTTTGTTAACTTTTCCATAATCATTTTTTCTGTGAACTTTTTGAAGACCTCAGGATGGGTTGGTGAGAAAGGGTCTCTAGCCGTCCCTGGGGAGCCCACCCAGGCGGGACAGTCACCGGCAGGCGCTGGCACCGTGAGCCCCACACTCAGCCACACCACGCCAGTTGCCCGTGGCCGGCAGGGCTTGGAGCAGGGCCGGGCCAGGCCAGGGAGCCCCAGCTCCCCCAGCCCACTGACTGCCGCCTTCCCACAGCGCATCCGCTCCAACCTGGACATCCGAGCCCTGGACAGCCCCCGAGGCCTGCGGACAGAGGTCACCTCCAAGATGTTCCAGAAGACAAAGACTGGGTCCTTCCACATCCGGCGGGGGGAGGTGGTACGTCTCTGGGGGCGCAGGGGCACGGGTACAGCCCTGCCAGGGGCGGCGCTGTCTGAAGCAGTGGTCGAGAGCACGCGCCCTGGAGTCAGGCAGGTCCCGCCCAGGCCAGCCCCTGGGTGAGCGGGGCAGGTGTTCCACAGCCTCATCCGCACGGGGAGTGCCGGGAGGGTAAACAGGCTGAGGCGGTTCCGTCACCCCGCGAGCTGCACCTGCCTCTGCTCACCGCGGGGGGGCCCTGCAGGGCACGTACCTCGTGCAGCTGCGGGCGGCGGAGGACGTGGATGGGAAGCACGTGTGTCAGCTGCCCGAAGAGGACCAGAAAGGAAACGTGCACCTGAAGCCCTCCTTCTCCGACGGGCTCCGCATGGACGTGGGCATCATCTGTGACACGTGCGCCTGTGAGCTGGTACGGCCTGGCCCTGCCGGGTGGCACGCAGGACCGAGCCCGGTCCCAGGGCCTGGGCCACCCCTCCCCGGGGCAGCGGCAGCGACAGGTGGCCTGTCCACCCCAGTCTACTCAACGTCTCGTTGCAGGAGAAGGAGGTGCGGTCGGCGCGCTGTGACTTCCATGGAGACTTCATGTGTGGCCACTGTGTGTGCGATGAGGGCTGGTGAGTGCGGCCGGGGAGCCTGGCACCCAGGACGTCCCAGCAGGCCCCTGACCTCGGCGCGCCCTGTGTGCCCGCGGGGGCTGGCTGAACCCGCTTCAGAGCACTCGGTGTATGGATGGTCCTGGGCTCACGGACGTCGACTCAGGGGGCTTCTCTCCAGGATCTGGCCAGAACGTTAGCAGTCAGGCATCTGTTCCAGCCAGGCTAGGGGTGACGCTGAGCAGGTAGGGGTGATGTGGGCAGGTGGGGGGTGATGTGGGCAGGTGGGGGGTGATGTGGGCAGGTGGGGGGTGATGTGGGCAGGTAGGGGTGACGCTGAGCAGGTAGGGGTGATGTGGGCAGGTAGGGATGATGTGGGCAGGTGGGGGGTGATGTGGGCAGGTAGGGGGGTGACGCTGAGCAGGTTGGGGTGATGTGGGCAGGTTGGGGTGATGTGGGCAGGTTGGGGGTGATGTGGGCTGGTTGGGGGTGATGTGGGCAGGTTGGGGGTGATATGGGCAGGTTGGGGGTGATGTGAGCAGGTTGGGGTGATGTGGGCAAGTTGGGGGTGATTTGGGCAGGTTAGGGGTAACATGGGCAGGTTAGGGGTGATGTGGGCTGGTTAGGGGTAACATGGGCAGGTTGGGGATCTTGTAGGTAGGTTGGGGGTGATGTGGGCAGGTTGGGGGTGATGTGGGCTGGTTGGGGGTGATGTGGGCAGGTTGGGGGTGATGTGGGCAGGTAGGAGCGTGACGTTTCGTAGGTTAGGTGTGTGTAGTGGGTTTTCCACTACTGTATTTTCAGCTTCACTTGGACCCTAACTCAGTGCCTGGGTGGTGGTAAATGCAGCCCCTCTGGGGAGACAGGCAGGGGTGGTTGCTGCTGGAGTGGTCTGGGGGCTGGGGGTTGGGAGGCAGGTACAGGAGGGAGACTGCCTTCCCATTCCATGCCTCTGGTTGCTTGAGTGTAGTGACCCAGGCACACGCGTCCCCCCCTGAGCGGGGGCAGGGAGGGCTGTGAGCTCCAGCCGCCCGGCAGCCGGCCGTGACGAGGCCAGCAAGCAGCAAGGAAGGGGCCCTGGTGACGAGGGACTGCGGCACTGAGGCTCCGAGCACTGGGCCCGTAGAGTTCCCGGCTTCCTCCCGGGCCGTGGCTGTGGCTTCCTCCCGGGCAGTGGCAGTGGCCGTGACTGGTTCCTCCCTCAGGAGCGGCAGCACCTGCACCTGCGCCACGGGCTCACTGAGCGACATCGAGCCCTGCCTGCGGGACGGCGAGGACAAGCCGTGCTCGGGCCGCGGCGAGTGTCAGTGCGGCCGCTGCGTGTGCTACGGCGAGGGCCGCTACGAGGGCCAGTTCTGCGAGTACGACAACGTGCAGTGCCCCCGCACCTCCGGGGTGCTGTGCAATGGTAAGCATGGCCGCCAGCGGGGAGAGCCAGGCCAGCGGTCAGGCCCAGACTCTCTCGGGGCCGGGGACTCAATCCAGGTCTCCCACGTGGGTGGCAGGGACCCAGGGACTTGAGCTGTCACCTGCTGCTTCCTGCGTTAGCGAAAGCTGGAGTCAGGACCTGGGGTTGCATGGAACCCAGGCTCTGTGCAAGACAAGGACACCCTAACTGCGAGGCCAAATGCCCACCCTTCCCTTCTTTTGAGCCCCTGGAGCCCCTGAGAGTCTCCCTGGCAGCCTGGGTCTGTGCCACCCACTGCCCTGTCTCGGCGGGGGTCCCACCCAGCTTAACCCTCGGTGATTGGCAGCCCTGCTCTCTGGAGATGCGGCAGGGCCTAGAGCTGGGGTGTGTCCATCCGCCCACAGGGCCGAGCACAAGGTTGGGCCCGGATTGGGAATGCATAGTCTGGCCGGGACCGTGAGAACCCAGCCCAGGGGCGCAGGGAAGGCTGCATAGCGGAGTGGAGAAGGGGGCATGGTGAAAGTCCACTCGTCATGGCCTCCACTGTGTGCTCGCCCGAGCCCGAGCCTGGGCCTCTCCTCCATTCTCGCTTCTGCCCGTTGGTTCCTCCCTTGGGCTGTGCGGGCCAGAGCGGTGCTCAGAGGAACAGGAGGGAGAGCCAGGCACGCCCAGTGGGGAGCAGACTGTGGGTCCCGGGCGTGTGAGAGAGGAGCGGGCGGTGCTGCTGAGGTCATTCATGAAACCTAATGATTTATCTGTAGAAATCGGCCAGCGCCGCGGCTCACTAGGCTAATCCTCCGCCTAGCGGCGCCGGCACACCGGGTTCTAGTCCCGGTCAGGGCACCGGATTCTGTCCCGGTTGCTCCTCTTCCAGGCCAGCTCTCTGCTGTGGCCCGGGAATGCCCGGGAGGATGGCCCAAGTGTTTGGGCCCTGCACCCCATGGGAGACCAGGAGAAGCACCTGGCTCCTGCCATCGGATCAGCGCAGTGCGCCAGCTGCAGCGCGGCGGCCATTGGAGGGTGAACCAACGGCAAAGGAAGCCCTTTCTCTCTGTCTCTTTCTCTCACTATCCACTCTGCCTGTAAAAAAAAAAAAAAAAAGAAATAGCAGAAATCAAAAGATAGAACTAAAACAGCTTTATTTCTTGCTTTCTGATAGTCACACATTTGGTTTCTTTTTCTTACCTTATTGTGTTGGCCAGGACCCAGCAAAGGTTCTTAAACAGGGAGCCGCGTGATTGGTGGTTTGTTTTGGGATGGTCACTCTGGCTGCACAGTGGACGGCGGGGGAGGGGAGAACAGTCCAGAAGAGTGAGGGAGAGGCGCCTTTTGCCGTGGGCTGGGAGCAGCCCAGCACCCACAGCTCCCTTCGCTGGCTGGTGGGCAGCCTGGGGCGCGCGTGCTGACGTGGCCGTCCGTCCTCTCCCTTCCCTGCCCATCTGCAGACCGAGGCCGCTGCTCCATGGGCCAGTGTGTGTGCGAGCCCGGTTGGACGGGCCCCAGCTGTGACTGTCCCCTCAGCAACGCCACATGCATTGACAGCCACGGGGTAGGCCTGGGCACGGGGCAGGCGGTGTGGACAGCAGCGCGAGCCCCAGTCAGAGGATTCGTGATGGGCAGCGGGGAGGGAGCAGACAGCGCTGGGCACAGCCAGCTCACTGGTGCCCCTCCCGCCCCAGGGCATCTGCAACGGGCGTGGCTACTGCGAGTGTGGCCGCTGCCACTGCCACCAGCAGTCGCTGTACACCGACACCATCTGTGAGATCAACTACTCGCTGGTGAGGCCGGGGTCGCTGGGGCGTGGGCGCAGGCAGGGTGGGCAGGAGGGCGAGAGGTTGGGGAGCAGGGCCTGGCAGCTGCCCCCCCACCCCGGCACAGTGCCCACTGCCCCCTCTGCCCGCCCAGATCCCGCTGGGCCTCTGTGAGGACCTGCGCTCCTGCGTGCAGTGCCAGGCCTGGGGCACAGGGGCGAAGAAGGGGCGGACATGCGAGGAGTGCAGCTTCAAGGTCAAGATGGTGGACGAGCTTAAGAGAGGTAGGGGGGTGGGGAGCAGGGGTGGGGCGGAAGCAGCTGGGCAGGGGGCTTGAAGTCAGATCTGGGTTGAGGTCACACCGTCCAGACAGAGCTGGCAGAGCTGGGCGTGGCTGCAGAACCCAGCGCGGGGGACACTGAGGCTGGGGACGCGCCCTCTCCCCTGGGCGGGCCCCAGGCCCTGTGGGGCTCCCGGGTGCAGGGGTGCGGTCGGGGGCCGCTGACTGTGTCTGGGTGCAGCGGAAGACGTGATCGGGTACTGCTCCTTCCGTGACGAGGACGACGACTGTAGCTACAGCTACACCGTGGAGGGCGACGGCACCCCCGGGCCCAACAGCACCGTCCTGGTGCACAGGAAGAAGGGTGAGCGGGCTGGGGGCTGCAGGAGGCCTGGGCACCCGCGGGGGGCGGGGGCCAGGCGGGTGGGCAGCGCCTCCCTCCTCTGCCTTCCGCAGACTGCCCGCCCGGCACCTACTGGTGGCTCATCCCCCTGCTCATCCTCCTGCTGCCGCTGCTGGCCTTGCTGCTGCTGCTCTGTTGGAAGTACTGTTCTTGCTGCAAGGTGAGCCCCCCCAGGCTCCCCCCACCCCTGCAGCCTGCTCCCCAGAGCCTGCAGGCTCCCTGGATTCTGCTCCCTGCTGGGGGACTTCGGACAGGTTATTTAATGCTTGCGTGCCTCGGTTTCCTCATCCGTAAATTGGGTTTGTTGGAACAGCCCTCTGAAAGTGGCGATGTTAGTCACATGAAGTTCTCCGGCCCACTTGCTGGTGCGGCTGACAGTCTTGGGGCAGGGGTTGTGGGGGTGGGGTGGGGGAGGGGAACGACCAGAGGCAGGGAGGCGAGGCAGACAGCACCGAAGGGAGTGCTGGGTTGTAGGGGCAGAGACGGCACCTGCGGCCGCCCCCAGTGTGTTACGTGGTCAGACACGTCCGAGACACCGATTTGGCACTTCCCAAAGGGGTTTGGCCACGGAACCTTTCCCCCACGGAGCATCTGGCGGGGCTTCTGGGGTTCCACACTTTGGGAACCCTGTGCCCGCTCGCCCTCTGTGCCCACCCTGGCCTCATGGCCCTATCTCTGCCCCTGGGGAGGCTCAGGAGCGTTGGCGTGGGGGTGGGGGCTGCCGGCTGGAGGGGCTCACCGCCCTCGTCCCGCCCACTCTTCTCCTAGGCCTGCCTGGCCCTTCTCCCCTGCTGCAGCCGAGGTACAGGGGACCCTGGGGCGGAGGGGAGGGGGCTGGCTGGGCGGGCGCGGTCCCACCTGGGAGGGTGTGGCTGGGCGGGCTCTGGAGGCCCTGCCCTGAGGTCCCTGCCCCGCAGGCCACATGGTGGGCTTCAAGGAAGACCACTACCTGCTGCGGGAGAACCTCATGGCCTCCGACCACCTGGACACGCCCATGCTGCGCAGCGGGAACCTCAAGGGGCGGGACACGGTCCGCTGGAAGATCACCAACAACGTGCAGCGGCCCGGGCTTGCCGCCCACACGGCCAGCACCAACCCCAGCGAGCCGGGTGAGGCGTGGCTGCCGCCGCCGCTCGGGGCAGTGGCCTTGGGGACCTCCGCCCGGGTCTGCGGTGGGTGGCACCTGTCCCGTCCAGGGTGCAAGCTCGGGCCCCGCCTCCCTGGCCCCCTTCCTGATGGTGCCGCAGCTTGAGGCCCTGCTGCCGGCCCTCCCCTGTGCTAGCGCGGCTGCAAGGGGCGGGGAGGTCTGCCCTGACCACATCTGCGCCCCCTCCCCACCCCAGTGCCTTACGGACTGTCCCTGCGTCTCGCCCGTCTCTGCACCGAGAACCTTCTGAAGCCGGACACGCGGGAGTGCGCCCAGCTGCGCCAGGAAGTGGAGGAGAATGTGAGGACCAGAGCCACCGGGCGGGTGGCACGGCGGGCATGGGTGCCATGGTGGGGCTTGGGGGGGACTTTCTGGGCAGGAGATAAGGCACTTTGGATGTGTGCCTGACTGATTCCAGACTTGGGGTGGCGACAGAGTGTGGGTCTCAGGACCCCCATGGGCCTGCCCGCCCCCTCCTCCCCCAGCCAGCCTTGCAAGGGCCTCTGGGTAGAAAGCCCACCCGGCTTCCCTGGGCCCAGCTCACTGCCCGCACCTTGCCTGGCAGCTGAACGAGGTGTACAGACAGATCCCAGGTGCACACAAGCTCCAGCAGACCAAGTTCCGGTGAGTCCTGGGTGCCCCGGGCTGGGGGGCAGCTTGGCTGTGCTGGGCCCCACCAGCCCCAAACCGGACTCCAGGGCCCTAGTGGGGCTGAGGAGTGACGCCAAGAGATCAGCCCCCCCCCCCCCAGCAAGGAACGTCTGGCTCACGAGCCCCTCTCTCTCCCACAGGCAGCAGCCTAACGCCGGGAAAAAGTGAGTTGAAGTTGTCCCCGCCTCCCTGCTCCCAGCCCCAAACCTGCCCCAGTCCCATAGGAAGGGAGGGAGGGCCCCATGCACCTGTCACAGGTTAGTCCTTCCCCCGTCCTGGCCTTCAAACTCCCCCGCACCCCAGGGGAGCACTTACCACGCAGCAGCCCCCACCCCAGAAACAAGCAAAACCTGAAGCTGGTCAGGGGCTCCTGTGGGCACCAGCAGGCCACAGAGCTGCACCCCAAATCCTGGCCCTTCTGGGATGCGTGAGGCCCCAGCATGCCTGGGGGGCCAAGAGTGCACCCGCCCCGGGGAGACAGGCGCCATGGCTGTTCCCATCCCACAGACGAGGTCCCGAGGCTGCAGAGCGAGGGTGGGGCGCTGGCAAGGACTCTGAAGCCCCAGTCGGGCAGAAGGTGCCGGCGTGGCCCCTCACCCACCTGCTCCCCCCCTCCCCCAGGCAAGACCACACCATCGTGGACACGGTGCTCATGGCGCCGCGCTCGGCCAAGCCGGCCCTGCTGAAGCTGACGGAGAAGCAGGTGGAGCAGGGGGCCTTCCACGAGCTGAAGGTGGCCCGCGGCTACTACACCCTCATTGCCGAGCAGGGTAGGCGGGCAGCTCCCCGCGCGCCCCACCCCCACGGCCACAGCCCTCGCCTGACCGCCCCGCCCTGCCCCCGCCAGACGCCCGGGGCATGGTGGAGTTCCAGGAGGGCGTGGAGCTGGTGGACGTGCGGGTGCCCCTGTTCATGCGGCCCGAGGACGACGACGAGAAGCAGCTGCTGGTGGAGGCCATCGACGTCGCGGCGGGCACGGCCACCCTGGGCCGCCGCCTGGTGAACATCACCGTCATCAAGGAGCAAGGTGGGCCGGGGGCGCGGCTGGCGCCGGATGCCTGCATCTGCGCCACGCGTGCAGGCTCCTGTAAGGAGTCGCTGTTCTGTATCCTGGCCCTCGGTGCCCAGGAAGTGGGCGCTTCTCTCAGCCTCATAAGGGGTCACCCCGCGCTGTCCCCTGTTCTTCTGTGTCCAGAGGAGGGATGAGCAAGGCTTCTGGCCAAGGACACCCAAGATACCGATCATGGTGCCCCCAGCCGCCAGGGGGCCCTCTGGCCCCCGCCCCTTCCCACCTGCTCCTCCCCCAGCAGCGTGGGTCCCTCCCTGCCTGGCCCGCCCCTCCCAGGATGGCTGCCGATGCTTTGTGTTGGCCCTTCCGGCTTTTTTCTGGAAGGATTTTCCATCCCCATCCTTAGCCCCCCCCCCCAGGGCCGTGGGAGGAGGGGTAGGGAGCCGGCTCCCCGAATGCTGACCGCCCGGGGCTCCTTGCAGCCAGCGGGGTGGTGGCCTTCGAGCAGTCCGAGTACCTGGTCAGCCGGGGGGAGCAGGTGGCCCGTGTCCCTGTCATCCGGCGCACCGTGGACAGCAGCAAGTCCCAGGTCTCGTACCGCACGCCGGACGGCTCGGCGAAAAGAAACCGGGGAAAGGGACTAATACGGGGGCAGGGGGTGAAGCCACGGGTCCGGATTGATGTCTCGTGATCTCGTATGAATCCATTGGAGTCGGGGGCACCCCACAGGGTCAGGAGTGATGCTGCGGGGTCAAGGGCACCCACAGGGTCAGGGGTGATGCCATGGGGTCAGGGGCGCCCTACAGGGTCGGGGTGATGCCACGGGGTCAGGGGTGATGCCATGGGGTCAGGGGTGGGTCAGGGGTGATGCCATGGGGTCAGGGGTGCCCATGGGGTCAGGGGTGATGCCACGGGGTCAGGGGCACCCCACAGGGTTAGGGGTGATGCCACGGGGTCAGGGGCGCCCCACAGGGTCAGGGGTGATGCTACGGGGTCAGGGGCACCCCACAGGGTCAGGGGTGATGCCACGGGGTCAGGGGTGCCCATGGGGTCAGGGGTGATGCCACGGGGTCAGGGGCACCCCACAGGGTCAGGGGTGATGCCATGGGGTCAGGGGTGCCCCACGGGGTTTCACGGGACACAGCAGCTGCCTGTTGCCCGCTGTAGGTGGTGCCCTGGCTGGCCTCGCAAGGACGTGCCACCTCTTCTGCCCCCATGGCAGGGGTGTCTGCCTTGTGCAAAGTGCAAGTGACACCCTGGGGGAGGCCCCGTTGCTGCCAGGGACTCAGACCAAGGGGGCTGCTCCCGCTCCTGCCCCAACTGTTCCTTCCCTCTCTGACAACCCAGGACCCCCAGGGGAGCCCGCCCTTTCATGGAGAAATGCAATCCCCAGACGCCCCAGTCCTGGAGGCTCCGGCTTCTTGGGCTGGGAGAGCCACTCTGTGTCCCTGGACTGGGTCCCCAGGGGCTGTCGCCTGGCCTGCTGGTTTCCCCTGAGTCCAGTATCGGGGGCAGCCAGAGCCCCGTGGTGCACACACTTGGTTTTATTTGCAGGGTTTTAGGTTTTAATTCTGAACGCATCACCAAATTATAAACTCAGAATATCCCCCCCACCAAGAAACCTTTTATTTAAGGAAGACAAACTTAATGTATTTCATAAGTACTTTAAAAAAAAAAAAAGATTATTTATTTGAAAGTCAGAGTTACACAGAGAGAGGAGAGGCAGAGAGAGGGGGGGGGGGGGAGAGGTCTTCCATCCGCTGATTCACTCCCCAGATGGCCGCAATGGCCAGAGCTGTGCCAATCTGAAGCCAGGAGCCAGGAGCTTCTTCCAGGTCTCCCACGTGGGTGCAGGGGCCCAAGGCCTTGGGCCATCTTCTACTGCTTTCCCAGGCCACAGCAGGGAGCTGGATCAGAAGTGGAGCAACTGGGACTCGAACTGGTGCCCATATGGGATGCCAGCACTGGTGGCCATAAGGGATTGTAGTTTTACCCAATATGCCACAGTGCCAGCCACTTGACCAATTTTTTTAAAACATTTTTATTGTCTCATCTTTCAAAACAAACTTGCAAACTACAGAAAACTGGGAAGACTGATGAAATTAGTACCCGTTGTACCCTTCCATGGATTCACCTGTCTCTCTCCCTCCCCCACCTCTCTATATATGGATATCTATATGCATAGGTATGGCTTTCAAATTTTCCTACACAAAGACAAACTATCTTTAAAAAAACAACTATTTTCATTTTTATCTGAAAGTCCAGAGAGACAGAGATCTTCCATCTGCTGCTTCACTCTCCAAATGCCCACGACAGCCTGAGCTGGGTCAGGAGCCCAAAACTCAACCCAGGCTCCCACCTGGTACAGGGACAGGGACCCTCCTGGGGTGTGCATGAGCAGGAAGCTGGACTCGGATACGGAACTGGGACTCAAACCCGGCGCTGCGATGTGGGCATCGAGTCACGGCCACGGCACCGAGTGCCCAACCTCTAAACCTTTTCTTTCCATTCCCGCAAACTCCGTGCCGTGCCCGTGTGTAGATGCAGACATCTGTGCCGACAAACAGCTGTGCGCGTGTGCACTGACACACACGCACGCACTTCTTGTTTGCTGAACTATTCCAAGTCAGGGCCGACATCGCCTGGGCCTGGAGCCCTTCTGCAGAACCAGGTCCAGAACTTGGCTGACGAGTCTAAGAGCCGCCATGCCAACTACTGTCGCATAGCAACGGCCTTTGTAGCTTTTTCCCCAGTCCAGGAACCAGTCGACACCTGGGACTGCGTTTTGTCTAAAGTCTTCTTCAGCCTAGAACAGTTCCCAGCCCCTCTGCTGTGTTTGGAACTGTCCACGTGAGCTGCTTACAGACCTGTCTGTGGTTTCTTTGCACCGGGGGCCATTTGTGCCCAGGCCTGCCTGGCTGTGCCTGGAATTGAAATCTTAGGCTGCAGCGCCACCTAGTGGCCTCTTAAAATGATTTATTTATTTACTTGAAAGAACTACACAGAGGGAGAGAGACGGAGAGATCATCGATCTTCCATTGGCTGATTCACTCCCCAAATGGCCACAACGGCCAGGGCTGCGCCAGGCCAAAGCCAGGAACTTCATCCAGGTCTCCCACGTGGGTGCAGGGGCCCAAGCACTTAGGCCATCCTCTGATGCTCTCCCAGGCCACAGCAGAGAGCTGGATGGGAAGTGGAGCAGCCAGGACTTGAACTGGAGCCTGTAGAGGATGCAGGCCCTGCAGGTGGGTTCACCTGCTACGCCACAGCGCCAGCGCCCCCTAGTGGCCTTTTGTGAGAGCACCTTTTCCTCCCACACCACGCCTACACACCCACGGAGCTCAAGGCAAGCTCCAAGACAAGGAGATGGAGGCAGGCGTTTGGTTCAGCGGTCAAGATGCCACTTGGGTTGCGGTATCCCATGTTGTAGTCCTTAGGTTCGAGTTCTGGCTCCACTTTCCACCCATCTTCCCGCCACTGCCATCCACGTGGGAGACCCAAATGGACCTCGGCTCCCGGCTCTTGCCTGGCTGTTGTGGGCATCTGTGGAGTGAACTAGTGGCTGCAAGACGCCTCCCTCACTTTCCATCTCTCAAATATATAAAAAAAATTTTATTGACAGGCAGAGTGGACAGTGAGAGAGAGAGAGAGAGAGAGAGAAAGGTCTCCCTTTGCCGTTGGTTCACCCTCCAATGGCCGCTGCACTGTGGCTGGCGCACCGCGCTGATTCGAAGGCAGGAGCCAGGTGCTTCTCCTGGTCTCCCATGGGGTGCAGGGCCTAAGCACTTGGGCCATCCTCCACTGCACTCCTGGGCCACAGCAGAGAGCTGGCCTGGAAGAGGGGCAACCGGGACAGAATCCAGCGCCCCAACCGGGACTAGAACCTGGTGTGCTAGCGCCACAAGGCAGAGGATTAGCCTAGTGAGCCGTGGTGCTGGCCTATATAAAAGAATTTTTATTAAAAATGAAAGAAGAAAGCTGGAGCCGATGGAAGCGCCCCCACCCACCGGGAGGGCCTAGGGCTGGGCGGGACTCCACACTTCCGAGCCACGATGACCCCCTCCTTGCAGGATGCGGCCTGCAGAGCCCAGCTCCCCAGGGCCGCCTGCCTGCCAGGTTTGGCCTCTGCACATCCCATGGCCTGCTCTGTGTTTTGGCTCAAATTCTGGCTCACACAGCCACCTGTGCGAATTTGGGCAAATTTCCGAAGCTGCGCGGGACCCGTTTCCGCATCGCTATGATGGGGTGACGGGACCTGTGCCTCCTGCTCTTCCGGAGACGGAATAGCGTGAGTGCTTGACACGCAGGAGGTGCGACGGGCGTCACCCCTGTCCACGTGGGACGGGACGGTGTCTGCAGTGTCCCTGAGGTCGGCACGGAGCAGGTGGCCGGGACGCCGTGTGTCCCCCCCTTGAAAGGCTCCCACACTGAGCTGCCTCCCCCCTGCCTCCCTGCTCTGACCCTGACCCTTCCTGCTCCAGGACTATGTCCCCGTGGAAGGGGAGTTGCTGTTCCACCCCGGGGAGACCTGGAAGGAGCTGCAGGTGAAACTCCTGGAGCTGCAGGAGGTGGACTCCCTCCTGCGGGGCCGCCAGACCCGACGCTTCAACATCCAACTCAGCAACCCCAAGTTCGGGGCCCGCCTGGGCCAGCCCCAGTCGGCCACGGTCATCATCGGGGACCGAGGTGGGCAGAGCCTGGGGTGGGCTTAGGCAGGTGGAGAGGGAGGGCCGGCTAGGGCTGCCGGGCTTGGCGAATCCCAACACAGGAGGCCCAGTGGATCTTGAATTCCCCACAGTAATGCACACGTGGAGTATACACGTGTGTCCCATGCAACACCTGGTGTAGACCTCTCCTAGAAGTGCCCGGTCTGTATCTGCAACCCCAATGTCCAGTGGCCTCCTGCATTTTATCTGGCAACTTTGTGGCCAGCTGGGGGGCGGGAGTCAGCCATTAGACCCTCGACCTTGTATCAGCCTCACGGAGGCGTTCCTGGAAGGGGTGAGTCCACCCCTAAGAGGAGAGCGAGCTCAGGGGAGGGGTGGAGATGGCCCGGGAGCAGGTGTTCTGGTGCGGAAGTTTTTTGTCTGCGAAAGGAGGAAGACTGGCGCCCTCTGCAGGTCGCAGGTGTCTGTCGGTCTCTCTGGATGGGGCCTTTGGGTGTTTGAGTCTCTGGCGCCCCCTGGTGGTGAATGGTGTCTGAGCCTGCCCCAACCCTGACCCACTACTAGATGAACTGGACCGGGACTTCGTGAGTCAGACCCTGTCATCCCCGCCGCCTCGCGGGGACCTGGGCGCCCCACAGAACCCCAATGCCAAGGCCACCGGGTCTCGGAAGATCCATTTCAACTGGCTGCCCCCTCCTGGCAAACCATTGGGCTACCGGGTAAGGTGGGGGCCACGGATATGGACAGGTGCCTGGGGAGGCCTGGCAGCCACCACCCTGGAGGGGGGCACCTTCAGGGAGAGGGGTCCAAGCACAGGTGGGCAGAGGGAAGCCCCAAGTGTGCCCCTGAACCTGTGCTCAGGGAAGAGGGAAGCCCCCGCCTGAGTCTCACAGAAGGTCGCCCCTCTTCCTGCCTGCTGGGTGAACGGCGCAGCCACCCAACCCTGGGGCCTCAGGGCCTGGTCTGGGCAGTGTGGCCGTGACGCTGTGCTTCCCCCGGAGCGGGGAGAGCGGCTGTGGCGCTGGCCGCTGCCCCATGACTGGTGCCCCTCCCCGAGCAGGTCAAGTACTGGATCCAGGGTGACCCCGAGTCTGAAGCTCACCTGCTGGACAGCGAGGCGCCTTCGGTGGAGCTCACCAACCTCTACCCGTACTGCGACTACGACATGAAGGTGTGCGCCTACGGGGCGCAGGGCGAGGGCCCCTACAGCTCCCTGGTGTCCTGCCGCACCCAACAGGAAGGTGAGGCGCGTCCCCAGCCCCCCAGGGTGCCGCCATGTCCTGCCTGTCCCCACCCCCTGCCCCTGACTATGCTCCACGGCCACTCCCCGCAGTGCCCAGTGAGCCGGGGCGCCTGGCGTTCAACGTCATCTCCTCCACGGTGACCCAGCTGAGCTGGGCTGAGCCCGCAGAGACCAACGGCGAGATCACGGCCTACGAGGTCTGCTACGGCCTGGTCAACGAGGACAACCGTAAGCCCAGCAGCCGGGGAAGGCCCAGGCAGGGTCTGCAGGGAGGGCCAGGGTCCTGAGTCCTGCCTGGCTAGCCGTGCAGGCCATACCAGTCCAGGTTGGCAGACAGCAGTGAGGCGTCACTCAGTCTCCACCTGGGGCCGGAGCTCCTAGCGGTGGGTGAGGCTCTTGTGTTCATGAGGTCGCCGGCCCCAGGGGTGCTCCCCATCCAGGTAACACGGGCGGGTGGCTCCTTCTCACCCAGTCCCGGGTTGGGGTAGAGCCTCCACTTTCCTATTGTTTCACACCGTGTTCCACCGGGCAGCCCCGGGCCAGAGCACCTGCTGGGGTGTGAGGGCCCCTTTCCAGTCCTGTGAGGGAGGCCAAAGATGAGAGCACTTAAGAGAAACCAGCCCCAGGCGGCACAGGGACGTCCCACACCTTCCATTTTGCTTGCTTGCTCCCAGAGATGGGGAGTTCACTACCCCCACGCCTCCTGGAGACAGGAATCTGTGTGGGGCTCACGCTGTCCCCGTGACTGGCAGGGCTGGGGCCAGCCAAGCCTTCTCTGCAGCCATGCCCTTGGCTGGCTCTGAGCTCAGTTCAGTCCATCTGTGGCCCTCCACCTGGTGGTCTCCTCTGCCTGGGCCTTTAACCCAAGAGTGACCCGAGTCCCGATGCACAGTCATCCCCGGTGGCTTCAGCCCCTGGCTCTGGGAATGAGCTGGGCAGCCCGCCCTGCCCAGGGGCGTCTGGGCTGTAGAGGGTGCCCCTCTTCCCCTGTGCCTGCAGCTGACAGAGGTGCGAGGGGGTGGGCCAGAGCACCCGGCGTGACAGCGGGAGACGCCCCCTGGGGCCACCGGGCGCCGGTGCCAATGCTTCTCCAGTACAGCCAGCTGGGCGTGGACTGGGGCTCAGGTGCTGCTCCAGCCCCTGCTCTGGGCCTCCCTGGAAACGTGTGCGGCGGGAGGCCTCTCTTGTGTCGCCTTTGTTTTTCTGAGTCTCCTGCTCATGCATCCGGGGTCCTGGCCCTCCGCGCCCCCACGGCTGCACCCGCACTGCCAGACGTCGAATCAGGACAGCGCTGGCCTCCCCCTCCCAGCTAACACGGGCGCTGGCCGTGAACCTCACCGCCAGCTGTCACAAACCTCGCTGGCCCCCAGACTTTGCCTCCCTGAGGCCACAGACCTCTGCTTCCCCAGCACGCGTTTCAGGGCCTGGTGTCAGCAGTGGGCAGAGGGTGACATCCCGTGAGCACCCTCACCTGGGCTAAGGCGGGGCACCTCGGAGCTGGGACCGCCCACCTGTCTGTCGAGGTGCTGCAGGGCCCGATTCAGCCAGCGACTGCGGGTCGCCCGGTGACAGATGTCAGAGGCGGGGCTGGGGCCGGGCTGCAGCCTGGTGGCCCCTCTGAAGCGCCCTCCCTGCCCTAGGACCCATCGGGCCCATGAAGAAAGTGCTGGTGGACAGCCCCAAGAGACGCATGCTGCTCATCGAGAACCTGCGCGAGTCCCAGCCCTACCGGTACACCGTGAAGGCGCGCACGGCGCCGGCTGGGGGCCTGAGCGCGAGGCCATCATCAACCTGGCCACCCAGCCCACGCGGCCCATGTCCAGTGAGCGGTGGGCAGGGGCATGCAGGGTGCGCACGGGGAGGGGCCGAGCTGGGGAGGGGCCCTGGCTCACCTCCTGCCACCCCGCAGTCCCCATCATCCCGGACATCCCCATCGTGGACGCCCAGGGCGGGGAGGACTACGAGAGCTTCCTCATGTACAGTGACGACGTGCTGCGCTCGCCCGCCGGGAGCCAGAGGCCCAGCGTCTCCGACGACACTGGTGAGGGGCTGCGGCGAGAGGCGAGGCAGCGGCGGGGGGCTGTCCCTGGTGCCCGGATGGCAACGGGCCTGGTGGCTGCTGGGCACACAGACCAAGGCTGCAGGCCCTCGACAGCCTCAGCCAGGCATCCGTGGAGCCCGTGTCACGGTGCCAGGTGGGCCGAAGGGACCACGCTGACACAGTGCGCGTGCAGGTCTGTGTGCGGGGGGACAGACGCTCACAGGCTGTGTGCATCTTGGAGGTCCACGGGTGGGTGTGCTGCGGGCTCAGCCCCAGCTCCGGCTGGCTCGCTCTGTGCGTTTTCTGGCTTGTGAAATGGGAACCCGCCCCGCCCCCACTTCCCGCGGAGGGGCACAGCTGTGCCCCAATTTTGTGTCCGTGGGAGACCGCCCAGCCGGTGACACGGGCCAGGCGCCTCCCTCCAACCCTCCAGGCAGGTCCAGAGCCAGGCTGCGCTCGACCACCCCGAGGGTCTCGAGCGGGCCGAGGGTTCCCTCTGCGGTGCGCGCACGCGCTCCGCCCGCCTCCCACCTGGCCCTCCTCGGCGCCGCCGCCCCCAGCGCCCCCGGCCGTGCCAACGCGGCCCTTCGTTGTTCCCAAGGCGGCGGCGGCGGCTGGAACGTGGAGCCCGCGCTCGGGGAGCAGCTGGACCTGCGGCGCGTCACGTGGCGGCTGCCCCCGGAGCTCATCCCGCGCCTGTCGGCCAGCAGCGGGCGCTCCTCCGACGCCGCCGAGGGGGGCGCGGACGGGGAGGGCGGCCCCCGGCCCGCCGGAGGTGACGGGGCTGTCGGGCCGCGCACCACCCCGCACACACTGAGTCCCTAGCGCCCACCTCAGAGCCCCAGCTGCGGCCTGCAACCGCACCTAGGCAGGCCCCTGCGGGCGTCTGGGGTCCCGCCAAGGCAGGAGCCCCTGGGGACAGTGAGCCCAACACGGCGCATGCCCAGCTAGGGGGGTTGGACTTCAGAGTCCGCGCCCCCCCCCCCCCCCCGCAGAAAGCCTGTCCAGGGTGGAGCTGGCTGCGCTAACGCCGCCCACAGCGGTGGTGGACACGGGCCAGGGGGACTCTGCACAGCTCCTTGACGCCTCCAAACACAGAGCCCTTGTCCCTGGTGTTAGGGGGAGGCTGGCGCGTTCACACCGAGTCCCTCTCCCCCCACGAAATAGGGTGGGGGCTCCGTGGCCGGTGCGGGCCTGACCCGGCCACAACTCTCGCCCCGCAGAGCACCTGGTGAACGGCCGGATGGACTTTGCCTTCCCAGGCAGCGCCAGCTCCCTGCACAGGGTGACCACCGCCAGCAGCAGCTACGGGACCCACCTGAGCCCCCACCTGCCCCGGAGTGTGCACAGCGCGACCTCCACCCTCACCCGCGATTACCACTCGCTCACCCGCACCGAGCACTCCCACTCGGCCACACTACCCCGCGACTACTCCACCCTCGGCTCCCTCTCTTCCCACGGTGAGCGCCGCCACCAGCCCTCCCTCCCTCTCTCCCTGCTCCTGGAGTCCCCTGGCCACTGCCCCAGTCCCTCTCACTCTTGTTTCGTCCTGCCCTAGGCCTCCCTCCCATCTGGGAGCACGGGAGGAGCAGGCTCCCGCTGTCCTGGGCCCTGGGGTCCTGGAGCCGAGCTCAGCTGAAGGGGCGCCTCCCCTCCAGGGGCTCCCGGGACTCTATAATCCTGGCCGCGCAGCCGGCAGCGCCCTCCTGGGGCCCAGGTAGTGCAGGGGCGGCCACCTTGGCTCTCCACGGCTGTTCTGCTCCACCTGTCAGCCGGCCACCCATCACAACCACCGCCACACTCTCCATTCCATCCGGAGCCCTGCCTGCCCACAGGAGCTAACCACCCGCCCGCCTGCATCCGCTGATGCCTAATGCACACAGGCTCCTCTCCTGGGTGCTGAGCAGGGAATGGGGTGGGGGCAGGGCCTGCACCCACCCAGGACGCGTAGGTGCTGCAGGATGAGCGAGCTGCCCGGCCAGCGCCAGCCGAGGGAGGGGGCACGACTGACTTGGGCCGGCGCCGACTGTAGCCTCCTGTCCCCAGAGTCCCGCCTGACTGCCAGTGTGCCTGACACACCCACCCGCCTGGTGTTCTCCGCCCTGGGGCCCACATCCCTGAAAGTGAGCTGGCAGGAGCCACAGTGCGAGCACGCACTGCTGGGCTACAGCGTGGAGTACCAGCTGCTGACTGGCGGTGAGGCCTGGCTGCCCTGTCGGGAGTCCACCCAAGCCCCGCCGCGATGTGCCGGGGCCCCTTCCACCCCACTTCACGTCTTCCGAGCCCTCTTCCCTCTCCCCGGCCTCTCTCTCCTTGTCATCCCCTCTGCTACATTCGGCCTCACCGTCCTACTAGAGACCCGGGGTTTATGCTGCAAGGGATGCCTGCGGGGGCTGGGATTGGTATTTCTTTGGGTAGATATTCCAAACAGCATGGCCCAGGCCCCTGGCTAAGGAGCCGCCAACCATCCCATCCTATCCCATCCCCCAGCCAAACCTGGGTGGGTGACCAGACCTCGAAGGCAGCCTGGGGAACAGGAGCAGCAGGCCCCAGGAGTGCGGGGTGGGGGTGACGCCGCTCTGGCCCGCCTTCTCCCTGCCCACAGGCGAGCTGCGTCAGCTCCACATCACCAACCCTGGCCAGACCTCCGTGGTGGTGGAGGACCTCCTGCCCAACCACTCCTACGTGTTCCGCGTGCGGGCCCAGAGCCAGGAGGGCTGGGGCCGAGAGCGCGAGGGGGTGATCACCATCGAGTCGCAGGTGCACCCGCAGAGCCCACTCTGCCCCCTGCCAGGTGAGCTGCCTCTCCCACCCCTCCGTCCACAGCGGCCCCCACTGTGCCCACGCCCCCCAACCCCGACATCCTCCCTCTGCTGCCCCAGGTTCTGCATTCACTCTGAGCACGCCCAGTGCCCCAGGCCCGCTGGTGTTCACGGCCCTGAGCCCAGACTCCCTGCAGCTGAGCTGGGAGCGGCCACGGAGGCCCAACGGAAATATCCTCGGCTACCTGGTGACCTGTGAGATGGCCCACGGAGGAGGTGCTGCCCGCCCCACAGGCAGGAGAGGCCGGGGAGGGGTGGAGAAGGGGCGTGGGGGCTGAAGGCGTGTTCCCCGCGCAGGGCCAGCCACCACGTTCCAGGTGGATGGGGACAACCCCGAGAGCCGGCTGACGGTGCCGGGTCTCAGCGAGAACGTGCCTTACAAGTTCAAGGTGCAGGCCAAGACCACCGAGGGCTTCGGGCCGGAGCGTGAGGGCATCATCACCATCGAGTCCCAAGATGGAGGTAGGGGGCCGCCCCACCTCGCCCCCACCACCTGGCTCGCCAGGCCTCCTCCGAGGCTGTCCCCTGACCTGCCGACCGGCTGATCTGCCCACTCCAGGCCCCTTCCCACAGCTGGGCAGCCACGCCGGGCTCTTCCAACACCCGCAGCAAGGCGAATACAGTTATGTCACCACCACCCACACCAGCACCAGCGAGCCTTTCCTGATGGGTAAGTCACCGGGGGCAGGGGACCAGGCTCTCCTGCGAGCAGTCGGGGGAGGGGCAGGGACCCGCCATTCCCTCTTCCCTGCAGATGGCCTGGCCCTGCGGTCCCAGCATCTGGAAGCAAGCAGCTCCCTCACCCGGCACGTGACCCAGGAGTTTGTGAGCCGGACACTGACCACAAGCGGGAGCCTCAGCACCCAGGTGGACCAGCAGTTCCTCCAAACCTGATCCCGACCTGCAGCGGCCTGGAGCCCGCGCCCCCTCCGCGACGCCCGCTCTGCTACTGTGCCAGCGCCTCTGGCCACACAGCAGGGAGTGGGAGGCATGAAGGGGGCAGAAGGCCCTCTCACTGCCCCCCCCCCCCAGCCTCTGGACGTAAACCCTTTCATAACCAAAGAGCAGGGACCAGCGCAGCAAGGTCCAGCCTCTCTTTTGCACTTAATAAAAGACTTTGCTACTGCACGGCTCTGCCCTGTCCATTTGTCCAGGGCCCAGAGGTGCCAGCCGGAGTCAGAGGGCGAGGCAATGCTGACACCCACCTCTGGGGGCAGGTGGGCACTGTGGTGGGGGGAGGCACAGTTTTATTGAGCACCCTGATGTGGAGAGCAGGTGCCAGAGACAGAGCCACGTGACCCACCACCTGCCGCCTGTGTGCACCGGGGGCAGTGCTGGGTGCCTCACAGGTGCAGCACCTTGGCCCCGTCTGCTGCTTGGGAGAGGTAGAAGGTTGCAGTGCCGCTGTACTGCTCCTAGGGGAGAGGCGGGCACGGTGTGAGCGCGGGGGGGCCCGGCAATCCACTGCCGCCCTCCCAGGCTCTGGCCCCAACCCACCTGTATTTGCTGCATGGCGCGGGATGCAGCGGAGGCCTCCAGCAGTGTCACCGTGCAGCCGCCGAAGCCACCGCCGGTCATGCGACTGCCATAAACCCCAGGCACGGAGAGCGCGGCCTCCACCAGCTGGTCCAGCTCCGGGCAGCTCACCTCGTAGTCATCCCTGCAGAGAGGGCATGGGAGGGGCAGTCCGGGGACGCTGGGGCCCAGGAGGCGCGGGCATCCCGAGGGTCTCACCTGAGCGAGTGGTGACTCTCCACCATGAGGCGGCCGAAGGCTCTGTAGTCCCCGCGGCTCAGGGCGGCCGCTGCCTGCGCCGTGCGCCGGATCTCACCCACAACGTGCCGCGCTCGCCGGAAGCCCTCCTTGCTCACCAGCTCTCTGCCGGCTGCGGAGGGGAAGGGGTCAGCGGAGCCAGCTCCCGGCCGCCTGCGGGCCCCGGGTGTGTGGGAGGGGGCCAGGATGGACAGCAGCCCCGGAGGGCTAGTCAACAGCTGCTGGAGGCCTTGTTGAGCTCCGTTAGCTCGGGGCCAAAGCCAGGAGCCCAGAACTCAATCCCAGTCTCCCCTTAGCGGCAGGGGCCCAAGCCTGCTGCTTCCCAGCGCCTTAGCAGGAAGCTGGATCGGAAGTGGAGCGCATGGGGCTCCAACCGGGCACTCTGAAACGGGACGGAGGTGGCCCGAGGCAATTTAACCACGCCAAAAAGAGCAATTTTAAGGCTCGAAGCAAGGGGAGGCACTTGGCACAACAGCTAAGGCACTACTTGGGACGACCACACCCCACGTTAGAGTGCCCGGCGCACAGCCCCTGCTTCGCTTCTAATTCCAGCGCCTTGCTAATGTGCACCTGGGAGGCGGCAGGAGATGGTTCCATGCTTGGGCCCCTGCCTCCCAGGTGGGCGCCCTGGATGGAGCTCCCGGCTCCCGGCTTCAGCCTGGCCCTGCTCTGGCTGTAGCATGCATTTGAGGAGTGAACCAAGGGATGAAAGAACTCTCTGTCTCTCAGGTAAATACATGCATACGTACATAACTTAAAATGTGCATTTAAAAAACTAAAGAGGCTTCAAACAGCCGTGAGTGGGCAGGGTCGGGGAGTGGGCAGAGTGTGCCCAGCCGTGAGTGGGCAGGGTCGGGGAGTGGGCAGGGTCGGGGAGTGGGCAGAGTGTGCCCAGCCGTGAGTGGGCAGGGTCAGGGAGTGGGCAGGGTCGGGGAGTTGGCAGGGTCAGGGAGTGGGCACAGTGAGCCCGGCCGTGAGTGGGCAGGGTCGGGGAGTGGGCAGGGCGTGCCCGGCCGTGAGTGGGCAGGGTCGGGGAGTGGGCAGGGTCGGGGAGTGGGCAGAGCGTGCCCGGCCGTGAGTGGGCAGGGTCGGGGAGTGGGCAGGGCGTGCCCGGCCGTGAGTGGGCAGGGTCGGGGAGTGGGCAGGGCGTGCCCGGCCGTGAGTGGGCAGGGTCGGGGAGTGGGCACAGTGAGCCCGGCCGTGAGTGGGTAGGGTCAGGGAGTGGGCACAGTGAGCCCGGCCGTGAGTGGGCAGGGTCGGGGAGTGGGCAGGGTCGGGGAGTGGGCAGAGCGAGCCCCGCCGGCTCTCACCCTCCAGCTCCTCCAGCTGCACCTCCCGAAGGCTCTCCTTGCCGAGCGCCCGGGCCACCTCTTCACACTGGCGCCGCCGCAGAGGGTACTCGCTAGAGCCCAGGGCGTGGCGGACGTTGGAATTGGTGATGAGCACAGCCAGCTTGGGGTCGGACAGCGGCACCAGGCTTGTCTCCAGGGACCTACGGCAGAGTGGAGTGGGGCGGGGGGGAGATGGCGAGGCCAGGTGTCTGCTGTCACGCCGGGCAGTGGCCCCCCTACCCGGAAGCTCCAGAGCATCGGTTTGGGGGGCAGGAGGCGGCCCTGACCTGCAGTCAATGAGCAGCGCATGGCCCTTCTGCCCCAGCAGTGCGATGAGCTGGTCCATGACCCCGCAGGGCACCCCCGCGAAGCTGTGCTCCGCCCGCTGACACACCTGGGCCCGGGCAGCCACTGCCTCCGAGTCTGCGGCACAGGGCGAGGCGGGGAAGAGGGGGCCCGGGAGGGGGCACGAGAGGTGGGCGGGTAGCTCCAGGGATAGCTCCTCCGGGGATATTCACCCACGCCCCTCCGCCGCCACCCACCATAAAGACGCTCAGACCGCAAGGAGGCCTCGAGGGAGGGGGGCCGGCCTCGGGGTACCTGGGCAGAGCTGCTGGAGGAAGGTGTACGTGGCCACTTCCAGGGATGCCGAGCTGGACAGCCCACCGCCCAGGGGCACGGAGCTGACCACCACCGCACTGAAGCCTGGGAGGGGCGCGGCTGCGGCGGAGAGAACGGTGAGGAAGATGGCTACCTGCGAGCATGCGCACAGGAAGCCGAGCATGCGTGCAGGAAGCCGAGCATGCGCACAGGGAGCCGAGCATGCGCGCAGGAAGCCGAGCATGCGCACAGGAAGCCGGACGCCCACTGCCCGCCCGCTGCACCGGTCACAAGGCCCCAGCCTCGCGGCCCAAGCACCCTGCCTCTTCCCGCCCCCCGAGGTTGCTGAGACAGTCCCCTAGTTGTCCTCCTGGTTTAGGGCTGGGATTTGAACCCGGCTCCTCCCATCACGGGCGGGCAACCCAGGGCAAGCTTTCCTCATCTGCGCAATGGGCGCAGCCTCGCTTCCCCACAGGGCACGGGGTGCATTAACGGGTTTGCAGCGTGAACTTGGCCCAGGCCTGGTCCCCATACCTGGGTAGTGCTGAATCACCCCCTTGACATAGTTGGCCCAGCGGGGAGTCCCAGGCTCCAGGGAGCGCTGGGCTGTGGGCAGGGGGAACTGTAGTCGCTGGGGCTCGTCGGCGTCCTCAGAGGTGGTCAGGAGGGAGACCAGCCCGTCCTCCCGGGGACTGCCCACCAGCACCGTGACCAGCTCCAGCGCCTGCACACAGAAGCAGCCCCTAAGGCGAGGCAGACGGCGGCCCAGGTCCTGCCGCCCAGACAGGGAACAGGCTCAACTCAAGGGCGGGCCGGAGTGCTGAGCTGGCCTTGGGGGCTGGAGCTCTGTCCCCTGGGTCTTCAGGGGCGGGGCCCGCTGCAGCCAGCGAGCAGGTCTGGACTCTGCCCTTAGCTCCCAGCTAGGGGGCAAGGGGCGGGGGACCGCCGGCTCTGGGGAAAACCGGGATCGAGGAGCGCCCACGTGGGGTGCGCTTGGCGGGCCGGACGCACTCACTCCCCAAGCCGCACGGCGAGGCCGCTAGAGCCCCAGATTTGCCAGCGTGGAGGCCGCACTCAAGGTTACACGTCCAGAGCCAGCTGTGCGACCTTGCGCAGGCCCCTGGCCCCCTCTGGGCCCGATACTTCGTCCGTAAATCACCGGGCTGGGCTACGCTCACACCCGAGCCTGGCGCAGAGGCGAACCGGGGAGCGACGGGGAGCCTCCGCGCCCGCACAGCCCCCTCGTGAAGCGGGAACACGCTCCCAGGTAGGGCGCGAGGGCGGGCTGGAGCCAAGCGGCGGTCGGCACACCCTCTCCCGGCCACTTCCTCCTAACGCGCGGGCGTGCCCGTACCGGGGTCTCCCCACACTCGGCTGCCCGGCCACACGACCCGCGCGGACAGGGCGCGCCCCCCGGCCCCCGGCCCCCGCCCTGGGCCCCGCGCAGCCCCTCACCATGGGCAGCACCAGGCCCTGGTTGTAGTCCGTGTGCTCCCCGATGAGATTGACGCGGCCCGGCGCCGACACGGCCAGCTCCGGCTCCTCCCCGAACTCCTCCCGGAAGGCCCGCCGGGCCTCGGCCAGCAGCTCCCCGACCTGGGGCTGTCTCGAAGCAGCCATGACGCCCGTCTGCGGCGCGGCCGCCGGCGGCGCGGGATGCTCTGGGCGGGGCCTCGCGCGGCGGTGCGCGCATTCCGGCCGTGTCCCTCGGCTCGGACGCGCCCACGCCCCGCCCACGGCCGGATGGCCCCGCCCCGTCCGCGCAGCCGGGCCCTGGCCAGCGGGCCCTGCCCGGCCCGCGACACTCGAGCTGACAGCTGTCTCAGCTGGGCGGGCGCAGAGGGAGGTGGGCACAGCCCCGAGTGGCACTCGGCGAGACGGAGGGTCTCTGCAGCAGCCCTGAGATGCTGATCCTAACTCCCCGTGGCCTAGCGCGGGCGTATGGCATAGGTTAGGACGCTTGTGTCGCAAACCGGAGTGCCTGGGTTTGGGTCGGCCTCCTGATTCCAGCTGCCTGGTAATGCGGACCCTGGGAGGCGGCGGGGATGGCTCAAGTGGGTGGGTCCCTGCCACCCACAGGCGAGATCTGGATTGAGCTCCTGGCTCCCTGCTTGCAGGCATTTGGGGAGTGATCCAGCAGATGCGAGTGTCTGCTCTACCTTTCAAATAGATAGGATAAAGTACTTAACTTTTGTAAAAGAATTTGTTCATTTGAGAGGGAGAGTTAAGTTACAGAAAAGTCTTCCACCTGCTGGTTCACTCCCCAAACAGCTGCAATAGCTGGAGCCGGGCCAATGCAAAGCCAGGAGCCAGGACTATTTCCACGTCTCCCACGCGGGTGCAGGGGCCCGAGGACTTGGGCCATCTTCTACTGCTTTCCCAGGCCACAGCAGAGAGCTGGATAGGAAGAGGAGGAACAGAGAC